TTTGCATAAGCCCTTCATAAGCTCGATGGTTCCTTTTGCATTATCAATATCAATGGTTGCATAGTCAGTGGTATTTTGCAGGGCTAGGTTGGAGGGTGGGCCTCATATGAAGAGAGAGATAATGCAATGTAGCATGTTTTTCTGACATGTACCCTATCTGTTCAAATGTATTACACACTTAACATCCATGTGATTTCTTTGAACTATGTGTTTGTTTATTAAAGTTGATGTAATGTGTCTTACAAAAGACACATTACATCGAATGTGTTGCACACAGTTCTGCTAAGGACCTTTGTTATAGCTCAGGCCATTAGCAGAAATGTGTGAGCTTAAATGATCTCATGGAGAATGCAATATTGCCTGTCTCTTGTATGTTGCTATCCCAGATGATTTGGTGAGACAGCACAAAAATACTTTGCTGGAAGCAGCATGTTGAAACAGGTGACATTGACAGCATTTTTCATGTTCCATGTTTCACCCAATGCCTCACTAATGCCTAAATGCTTGTTAAGATCCAGTCATCGTCCCTGACACATTCATTGCAAGGCACAATCAGAGTACCATCCCACTCATACCTTGAATGGCACTCCTACTTACATTAGTGTGGCATTAGTGGTGGTCATTCCCTCTGGGGTCAGCACCTCACGGACAGCCAGGATCGCTGACAGCAAGCTGCTGCCTTCAGATGCCATCCGTGAGATGGCCAAGTACGGGCGACGCGCCCGACGAGGCCGGCCACGCCGCGCGACCACCTGGACGCCGAGCTGCAGAAGCACATGAAGCTGTTCCGCGCGCAGCGCAACTTCTTCATCGCGGGCTTCGCCCTCTACCTGTTCCTGTGAGTGGCGTGGCACGGACGTGGTCGGTCAACGCTCTCGGGGGAGACGGCGACGCTCCCGCTCGGTGGCGGAAGTAGTGCCGAACCGCCGGCTTGGGTCACGGATTCAGCACGGTGCGGAATGTCTGCATGACCTTTGGAGCATGCTGTTGATGTAATGACGCTAATGAATCAAATTCACGATATCAGTGCTCTGCACCGATCAGTGCCAATATTGCCAGGCTCTGACGGGCAGAAGACGCATAGGTCCGACAACACGATTAGGTTCTACGAATGCGTTGGGTCCATATCCGATGTCGGAATAAATCTTAGTTTATACCCGGTTGGCACAACGTGACGGCAAGCCTCACCCGGCCAGCGTCCTGTAGTGCGTGCGAGTCGGTGGACATCCAAGGTAGACGTATGCAGTTCTTGTGCTTAAACTGAACGCTGGCTATTGTGATATGTTGCTCGATTCACCGCGCATCCGGGTGAGGTCAAATGACCCCCCCCCCCCTCCCTCCCGAAGGTTTTTCCGGGATGGTTTCCGAACGGCGCGGCATAGCCGCGCCAAATTTTCGTGTCTGTATACAGTTAAGTGGCGGATCGTCCGACTTTAAAAATTACATTTGCTTAGGTCCCCGTCCGATGGCAGAGTCAAAGTCAAGCCATGGTTTGAGCTGAGGCAGTTTGTAGGGAATCGTTCAATCTGATCCAACAATGGAGTGCTAGACGAAGCCACACATTTCTGAGATACCTTTTAATGGCAACACAGCAATTGAATGAACAAATAACATTGACGTAAGGTCAGGTATGAAGGGCAGACAAGGTCAAAACAATCTGTACTGTAGCGTTTGCTAATATGGGGTAGTTCCTGGTGCACATTTCGAATCTATTGATAACAGAAACCCTCCAAAATGGAGGGTGGCTGTGGGTCGTGGCATGTGTGGCCACCACCCCAATGGAGGGAGGGTGGTGGCACTAGTGGCACACCCCCCACTATACACTCTCCAACATGGAGGGTGGCTACGATGCGCACAGCCAGAGAAAAATGGTAATACAAAGAATACAAATGAACGTGCCACAGACGGCTACCTAAGTATGTTCCGCCCGATCACGCTCGTATGCTCCACCACGATCACGCTACTCACGCTCCACCACGGTCACGCCACGTCTGCGCTTCACCAGCTAACTTGTTTTAAAAACGGATAAAACATTCATGCCCTCCACCTCCCGGACAACACACGAAGCCCGCACGTCCGAGCCGAATAAAAGAGACAGGCAGCACTCTCGACCGATTTACCGAACCAGCGCAAGTGCAATGCCTGACAGACCCGTCTAGACCGGCCAAGAGGGATCGGGTGTCAGTCACCCCGCTGACTCCGGCGGATAATACAACGTATTTATGGAGTTTGATGCGCTATAACCCATATAATTGCGAGCTGTGATAATTTATGTTGCAGTTCATTGATGTTTTTGTCCTAATGAACCCTTCTCCTTAATTTGCGGGGCCAAAGCTATGGGTTCATGTCACTCTGGTGTCCTGGTGTTTGTGCCGGAGTGAGATGGCTGTCTCCGAACATTTCTGGTCTATTTATAGCAACGTTTTTCGACTTAAAATATTTTTGTAAAGCCTGAATTACCAGCTTTAATTTCACACCCTCAAGTGACAAATTTGATTTTATTTGAATCCCCAGCTGTTATTGCATTTTTGTACTCCGGCTAGCAAGAAATGGCCAAAAATCCAACCACAGGGTGGTTCTGGATGAGTACCAATAAGTCATTCGTCATAATCGTGATACCCATCTCTATACAGCTGCCCTCCAAATGTAATAATAAATCTGTTCAAGGCATGAGCGCGAGCAGAATATGTATGCTCTTGACAAATCAGTCGCGAAGAGGCGAATTATTAAAACCAATTGGAGAGTTTTGCTATGTCCAGCCTCCAACCTCAGCTGGGAGGCGGGCGCAAGCCGCTGAATAGTACAGACGTTTCCGACACTGAATTGCGAGTGATTTTCTTAATTGCATTATCATGACACAGTGGTGGCGCGTGGGTAGGCGGCCGTCTGTGGTAGGTGCTTGGTTGTTTTGTTTTCTATGACCGCTCATTGCATCCTTGGCAATAAATGTGGTTCATCGTCAGTGGTAGGTTAAGTCATGTTCAATTCCGAGTTGGTCTGCGTAGGGCGTAGGAAGTGAGAGCTTTGCTAATCTACAGACCGGTGCGATTCGTCTACTCGTTTCTCATTTCCCGGTGTTGTTCAAAGGCAATTCCATTCAACATTCACACACTATTTTTCACATTTCTATACATGATTTATCATATACCTGTGTGGCAACACAGGCCGCGTGCTTTTGGGCATCTTAGTCTGGTAGGTGCAAGATTTGTGCTCTTGTAAATATCAATACATGGCTCATGATGGAAGCAGCAAGTCTCAAGCTGTTGCACCTTCTGTTTAATTTTGTCCTGAAACAGAGGGATACAATGAGTTTTTTCCAGAAACTGTTGTTGCATCATGATGGAGTACAAAATATTTCATTTTACCTACCCACTATCCTGGGGTACAAGATCTCCTGGTATTATGATCGTCATATAATCGTAAAATTTCCTGGTATTATGATCGTCATATAATCGTAAAATATCCTGGTATATGTTAAAATCTCCTCCATTATACCAGGAAACGTCAAGTTTTCCAACACTGCTTTGAGGACCAACCTGGAATTTGACCTTATTTGACCTTATTTGACCCGAAGGTAATGGCCTAGGAATTTCAAACTTTGACCTGAGTGAGTTCACGCACAGGCCAACACACCCTCTGAATTTGGTGTCTCTAGCTCTCTTAGTTCCTGAGATCTCAAGGGGTCAAATTGACCCCCACCCGAGCGAAGGGTATCCAACCGGCCACCCGGGGGCGTGTTGACGATGTGCCATGTTAGGGAACCGATAATCTGCGAGACTACCGGCCGGACTGATGTGGCCATGAAGCGTCCTGCGTTCAAGACCCATGCGACAGAAATGTCACCGGATGTTCGAGTTTCATCGATGCCACACAGTCTGACCACCCACGCAGTCTGGTCACCCACGCGGTCTGACCTCCCACGCAGTCTGACCCTCCACGCAGTGTGACCTCTGGCGGTGATGTGATGCGTCACGACCGTTCCCAGGGTGCTGCGCCGTCTGATCACGCTCATCTCGAAGCAGGCCGCCCTGGAGGCGAGCAACGAGGCGGCGATGCGACAGGCGGTCAGCGCCTCCAACGCTGCCAAGAAGGTAAGCCGACGAGCCGCCGGACCGGGCCCCGGCCGACGCCCTCAGCGCGCCCAGGGATCAGATCGGGTTGCCCGGCCGGTTCTTCGTTGGTAATATGAAGCAGCGGAGAAAGGTCAACCTTCGTTCGTGCCGTACTGTTGACCGCATGCTGTCAAAGACCGCAATTGGAAACGGGGTTCCACAGGTTCGTGCTTGCTTTATCGGTGAACGTATCTATCGGGGCGATCTGATATCATCCGGAAGTAAGGGCCAGTGCATACCAGCGTTCCCTTTCGGCCGGCACTTTCTGGCCGCGGCAAACCCCGGTCAGGTTACCTCGGCGCTCTGCAAGTATGGCGTTCGACGGCCGACAACGCGCACTTGTCGGGCACGGCTGGATTTAGGTGCCCGTCGCCTGTGGTGGGACTTGTCTGGCGGCCTCGCTCCGACATCGCCCGTTCACGGACGCCGCTCTGTCGCCGCAGCTGATGGAGGGCAAGGAGATCAGCGCCGGCGGCGACAAGGAGACGAAGGAGCTGAAGAAGAAGCTGTCCGAGGCGGAGAAGGAGCGCGACTCGGCGCTGAAGAAGGCCGAGGCGCTGCAGTGCCAGGCCGAGGCCACCAGCCGCGAGTACGACCGGCTCATGGAGGAGCACGCGCAGCTCCAGAAGCAGACGGCCGCCGGTGATAAGAAGGACGACTGAGCGGCGGCGAGCGCCGGCCCGGTCTAGCCGCCTGTTGGCTCTCTCTGCGGGCAGCTATGCGAGGGCGCCGGCCGGTACCGGGGCACTGTGCGTACGATTTTGGTAAAGGACGGATTGTTAATTTTGCTGTGTTGGATGGACAGGCGGTTGTGCATAGCCAAACCTATTGTAGACGTGCGACGCCGAGTCCCAAACCCAGTTGTCGGTAGTCGTGTGGCGCTTAAGCGGGGAGGGCTAAATCGGGCATAATGATGTCTAGATAATGCTGCACCATAATTCAGAGGAACATTTAACTATTGTCCGGCCGTGACGCAGATCCGTATGTTCCCGCAGTCAACTCCAGTGGACCCAACGGCTGTCAGAATTTCTCAGAGTTTCGTTCCGAGCACAATGATGCCATCCCAGATTGTGCCACTTGATCCCAATGTCGCTTGACCGAGGTCGCCGGCCAAGTGGGCTGGCGCCTCGCTATCCGCGTGCTGTTGTCCTCTGGTATTTCCCGTCCTCCAGACGGGGGAATGGTGCCCGGTCGGGGTGTCGCGCCGCTGATCGGTAAATGGCTATCTGGCGGCAGCCAGCGGCACCGCCGCGCTTTGCGAAGATCACAACACTGTGACGTGCTCACGTTCAAAGTATTCCCGTGTATTCATCGTGCTTTCCCTGGGGTTGAGGCTTGTACATTCTCCCGCTATCGTTGGATTTTATAAGGAAGGGCAGACGCTTATGGGCATGCGATGTCGCCATGATAGCGTTGCAGACGTATCGTAATAAAACGAGAACAGAGGTCTCGACAGCGGTTTCAGAACTTGTGCGCGGCAGCTGCGGCGGGACAGACGGCAGAGGCCCGTAGCGCGGCAGCCGGAGCAGGACAGACGGCAGAGGCCCGTAGCGCAGCAGCTAGACCAGGACGGATGGTTGAGGTCCGTGGTGCGGTAGCCGGAGCAGGACAGACGGCAGAGGCCCGTAGCGCGGCAGGTGGAGCAGGACAGACGGCAGAGGCCCGTAGCGCGGCAGGTGGACCAGGACAGACGGTGGAGGCCCGTAGCGCGGCAGCCAGAGCAGGACGGACGGTGGAGGCCCGTACCGATTCAGTGTCGCGCTGTGGGAACGGTCACGCGTGCCCGCGCAGACGAAGACGCAGACTGAGGTCTGGGCCTCGCGTCATGCGCCGTTGGCTTGTCGCCCCGCATTACCGGGCTTCGCGGGCAAGCCGCCGCGACGAGGCGGCAGTGGGAGGCTGACCGTCAGTGGTTGGCGCTGTCTAGTTCTCGGCGACGCGCTGCTGCGATTTCCGTTCCAACTAGCAGCGGCGTCGGGACGCAAATAGCGAAGGCGATCCAAGACGCGGAACTGTACCGGATTGCGTAAATGAGGCTAGTTAGTCGATGCGGCAATGCCCTTCGTCGTTATTTTGCAATGTGATCGGATCCGTCGAGCTGTGTGCGGCGTAGATATCATTACTGTTGGTAGGATGGTGGTATAATTGCTTCTGGTGAATGCTATGTGAAGGCGAGGGAACCTGTTGCATGTAACGCAAAGTAAATGTGGAGCCCTCCGTTACTTGCCTACATTGCCTGGAACCACGCCGACATTTCTTGTAAGGATGCAAAGAAAATGCGTCAAAAAATGAAATATGAACAAGATTTATGACAGCGCTGAAAAAACGTGAATGATGTCGCGAAAACGTGAATGATGTCAATGCGACGAAGTTCTAGTTAATGTTCACCACACCGCGCTTACCGAACTGCTCAGTGGGAAAATGGCTACAGCTGGCAAGGCACGCATTGAGACAGGCAGGCGTTCCGTTACCGTGAACGTGCGGTCTCCAGGAACCCACATTAATGGCGAGAGGTGTATTTTGAATGAGTAACATACCTTCTAGTCGTTTAGAACTGGGGCTCATTTCCTGTTTTTTTTTCACGAGGCATAGGGGATTGAAGATTTCTGACTTCGTGGTGCCTTTCTTTACCTACTAAAAGCTGCCTGTTCGGAAACGCAAGCTGTGCTCCTGCGTGGTACAATATTCTCAGCTCCGTGCTGTCATCGCTCGTGGGTTTTTGGGCCGTGATATATATATATATATATATATATATATATATATATATATATATATTATCGGGGCTTAATGACGCATTTGGCTGCTGAGGCTATATGGCGCCGCCTGCCTCTCACCTCGGCAAGAAGGGCGGGCACCGCGGGAAATCGGACCCCGTAACTCTCCTAGACGCGCAGCTTACTACTACACTAGAATGGACCGTGACGAAAGAGCAGTGGGCATGTGTGGAGCTTGGCACCTTCGTAATGACACGGTCCCCACAATGTCTGTCCAGGTCCCCTCAGTATTTGACCTCAGTCGCCAAGAAGTCGCCAAAACCACACATAAAGTTTTATTTCGTTCAGAAAATCACTTCGGCTATTCTCCAATCGTGTGAAGCTGCGCCTGTAGCCCTGCAGTGTACTAATTAACCTCCGCTGATTCCTCTAGTGCATTCCTTTCATATGTGGATGTTTCTGCGAAATGAACTGCGTCTTTGAAGTGGGCTGCGTCGGCAAGCTGTGCTTTCTATGGATGTTTTTATGCAATGTGTAATTTGTGAGTAATAACTGCGCATTTCGTAATGTTGCAAAAGGAACTAAGCACCCAAAACTAAAGGATAGGCACATCAAAAATGCAACCAAGTGCTCTGGTTTGTGGGTGACACGCTTCATCTTCCAGCTAGATCGTCAGTGATCACAAGTTACGACTGCGGTCCATGGGCTTCTAAAGCTGAAAACGCATGACTCGTAACTGTATTACATGACTAACAAAAGTGCTCGGATGTTACCGAGTCCTGTCGCCCTATCGACAGAGGGCGTCTCGTTCGGATCGCTTCCATCCAGTCCCGATTGATCCAGGAAGGGCTAATGTAAACAAACGTGTGGCGCTTGGGTACAGAGTGCACTCCCATGTCTGGACAGCATTGGAATGGCCATGGGGAATCAGCTTTTGGCCGGCTTTAGCCCGTCGCCGAACACCGCGCTCTGGCTCTTCGCGTCTCTTGTATTTCCAGAAAGTGGTGGCACCGGTCAGCTGGAGAGCTGAACAGTCAAAACTCGTGTCATTGAACAAATGGCGGGGAAGTCGAGGAAGACGGACGTAATGCAGGGGGCGCTCGGAAGGTTTCCGAGCGCTGACTGGTACTCGGGTCAGAAGCACGTCTACGTCAGCGACATCGAAGACCGACTTCACTCAGCTTTTCACCTCTCATGTCAGCGGGCACCGCTACTGCAGATCTGGCATGATCAAGCACGTACACTGACAGCTTTGCAGACACGGGAAGGTCATCTGCAGGCGTAGTCTCTTGGCACCCGGTATTGATACGACTGTGGAAGTTCTTCTACCCGACACGCGTACAGCAACAGGTAAGCAGGGTTAAGCTGGCCACATGGTTGTGCATGTTTGACAAAGCAAGCATGCATGTTTGACAAACTCGCTGCATTCCACAGGGCCCTTTAAAAACGGTCTCATTTCAGTTCTCGCCTATCCGTGACATTGACACTTCACTCCATCGTTACTGTCCAATGACACTGAGCCAAAGCGCCGCCAACACACGCGCCGTTCTGTGGGCAGCAGTGAGAACGTTAAGAAAACGTCGACATTCATATCGCGTGCACAGCTAGGCTAGACGCCGGGAACGCGGCACGAGTTCGTGGTGTGCCGCCGCTGCGGGTGTGGACAGCCGCATGTCGGCACGCGCCGTCCACCTCCTACCCCAGCGCAGAAGCGGCCGGATCCAGTGCATTACTTCGCGCGATGCACTCGTCCGGTGCGACGCTATAACCAGGAGACGTCACACGCGTGGCGCGCCGCGTCAGGTTCAGACTCCGCGCACGGAGCTCACACCTGGCGCCGAGCGTGGCGGAGCGGCGGCCTCCGCTGGGGTCTGAGGGGAGTCCCCTCGGCGCTGATTGGTGCGGCCCACGCTGGCTCCGGTCATCCCGTCCCCGTCTCGGAGAGGTCGTGGGGTGTAGCCACGCAGGGGAGGGCCCTGGTGGGCGCCCAAGGGGGAAGGAGAGGGGCACGAAGCAGGGAGGGGAACAGCTCGGAGGCTCAGATCTTGCAGTCCTGCGGGCTGCTGCTCGGCGAGTGTGACTCCGTGAGCGCGTGCATGCGTGTCGTCACAGTGCTGGAGCTGACCTGGCGCGCGCCACGGTCCTTGTCGTCGGAGCTGAGGGGGAGACACGGGCTGTCAGAGCCGGGACCGGGCCGCTGCCGGGGCAGAGACGGACGCGTCACGTGGCAGGTCACAGGCATGGAGAACAGCCCGTCAGGGGTACAGGGGAAGACCGTCACTGTGGCAGAGAAGCGCCGTCACAGTGCCGACACAGGGCACGCCAGGAGCACGTCACAGCGCCGGGGGTATCACCGAGGCAGGGGTTGACCGAAATAGGGATGGAATAAGCCTTCTCAGAGAAGACACAGGCCGCCATAGGGCGGGCTGTGGGAGGGTCATCACAGGGTTAAGAACTGTGCGCAGGCACCCACTTGGAGCATGGATAACCATTCACCAATGTTTGGACAGTCTGTTGTAAGTCATACAAGCGTCATAACTGAACTTTTAGACACTACAGGCTATCGCGGGCACAGGGTCCGGTTGTTCCAGTGGGCGGGGATAAGCCCCCAATAATTGGGCCAGGCCTTCACGGTGTCCAGACAAAGAGTCAAATGGAAAAAGCCGAACGACACAAAGTCTGTGGGGATAAAAGCCAATTGGGACAAGAGTCGAATTGTCGAATAGGAAAAAGTCGAAGACCAAACAGTCAAAAGGCACGGCAGTCGACCGAATGAAAACTTAATTGAAAAAAGGAAATAAAAAAGTTCAGGGACTTCAAGTCGACAGGGATAAGTGAGAAAAAGTACAAAACGAAAAGTCCAAAGGAACAAAATCCGTCAGGGGGTACACGAGGATAAGCACTACTGAGTGCTCATGATATTACTCGTTATCACAGGCGCAGTTTGAAGCAACGACAATACTGACCATACCGATCGCTGACAATATCATCAATGTTTGCTCAGCTACATCGCCTGACCGTTGCTGTTGTTAATTGGGACTTTGGAGCGCGCCGACAACGAAGGCCACATCGCGCCTTTTTGGAACCCTGGTGCATCCAGTGCGAGTTTGGTCTGGCTACAGGCCTGGAAACGGGCACTTCCGTCTTGACGCTACAGCGTTTTTCACAACGCACACCGTCACCGCAGTCGAGCGTTGTGCGATGCCTCCCGATGCCGTGTGCTGATGCGACATTGTGACCGACTGCGGCCATGCAATAATGAACTTGATCTCTGGTGCGCGTGGGCTGCGATCCACCCACCAGATCAGATAGATGGAGACGACGACGAAGACGACGAAGGCCATGCCGATGCCGATCATCGCGAACATCCAATAGTTGACCTCGTTGCTGTCTGTTGGGCGCGTTCGAACGAAGCCAGTTACTTCACGGCGCGAGAACGAGTGCGAAACGCGTCATGAAATTCACTCGTAACGTGACAACGCAGCTTATAAGCGGCACCCGAGCAATGAAAAGAAGCAAAGACGTGCAGCGAAGTCGATCTTTGACGACGCGGGTGCAACGAGCATGAGCTGCAGGCGTGAAACGGACACAGCTCAGCCGAGCCATTCAGTGGTAAGCACGTTCGGGAGTACGGCGATAACCCCCCCCCCCCCCCCCCTTATCGGCTCGTCAGGCGTCGGTGGCAGTTATATCTACCCTCGTGTCACGTCTACAGTGCACAAAGAACGGCGTGTGGTCCCTGAAAGGTCAGCATACTCGACCCACCTGGTAGGTACTGGACGTAGATCTCACGAGCTGCGTGGCTGTCCATATTCATGGCTTTGTGGTTTCACCTATGCACGACAAACGTTACCGTCAGAGATGGGGACGCGGCATCCACACTAAGTCACCTGGTTATATTTGTTCTGGGCACTGTCCACCATTCAAATTTTAACGTTTGTACGGTTTCAATAATTTTGTTATGCATTTGGGTACCCACACATGCTCAAAGCTCACACTCTCACAGCCATTTCACACATCTTCCGTGTTAAAAAGACAGCGCAATACCGTCAGCTGCCCGCAGGACTCAGGACTCACCTCCGAGGCCGCACCCCGCCGCCGCCGGCAGCTGACGGCCACCCGAACACCCCAGCCGCGCACCGCCACCCGGACACCCCAGCGGCGCACCGCCACCCGGATACCCCAGCGGCGCACCGCCCGCTCGTCACGGTCGCTCCGGCCGCGCGTCCGCCGCCCCGACCTTCGCCGCGTCGACACCGGCGCAGACGGAGGCGGCGACGTCGAGCGCGAGGGATCGATGGGCGAGCGGCCGCGGGCGACGCAGGCGCCGGCGCGGTGCCAACCGTCGGCGGCGGCGGCGGCGGCGGCGCAGGAGCGGCCATTCTCCCTGACCTCATGGCGAGACAGCCCGTCCGGAGTGTCGGTCACATGGGAAGTTGGTCTGGTTATTATCCGGTCACTGAGTCTGTTCCTTGTGTGCGTCATCCGTTCCTGGTCTCGTTACGGGTGTCATTATCTGTCTCCGGCGTTGTTCATTGGTTCACCAGCTCATCACGACTCTGCACACGAGCCTAACGCGTTTTGCGGTGATTTGGTCTTTCAGGGCGCGTCGGCATCGAGGCCATTTTGCGCTCAACCCAACGCGTTTCTGACGCCTATCGACAGTCGTGTGCAAAGGCAGAAGTTCACCCCAGCACGTGCGTCTGTCGGCGGAGCCTGGACATCCAACACGCCGTTTGTTTATTTTACGCGAGGGCGCGCAGTGCACTGTCGATTCACAGTAATTTCTGCAGGCTGTCCGTGGATCCACCGCGCCGCTGGCCGTCCGCCACTCCTCCGGCCGCTCAGCTCAGACAGAAGCGGTGGTATGTGCCGTGTGCTCACAGCGGCAAGCGGATATTTGGGAGAGTAGAGTTTGATTTCGGATAATTTCTTAAGTCTGTTGATCGGATAGTGGGTACCTGCATACGGTAGCGCAACACTGGTTTGTACGTGAGCGACAAATGAACGTCATTTGCGTGCGTGCTTCATCGCTATCCTCGCGCCGGATAGCTTGCCCCGGATGTGGGAAACTAGCATTCCACTGCATTCATCAAGACACTTGCTCGTAGTGATACGTCCAATATACGTGAAACAAATGACCAGCTGAGGTTCTGAAAGGGTAAGGTAATATAGGTCGAATAATTGAAATGAAATAACACGCATGCATACGCTCCGTTTGCAGCGTGCTCCTTTTGTAAAAGCCCACTCTGGCCATGCCCCTCCCACGTCACTCGGCCGTAATTTTGCGACCGATCAAGCGGAGATCGCGTCCAACCTGTCCTTCTGCCTTCATGCAAATCTTTCGCCGATAAAATACCACTGAAAGCGGTTTGTATATTGGCCGCTCCTGGTGGGATGTGTACAAATGACGTGTGTGCATATAACCACCGATCTGCGAGCGGTAACGATCAAACAGAACTGGAGCATGAAGCGCACAAACCAACAAGTCAACACCAAACGAATGAATCATCACTAGACACAGCCCAGGTGGGGAGGGCGGCTCGCGGCAGCGTTCAACAGTTGTGTCCAACTGCCAGGAATAGTCCCTGCCCCGCGTTCAGGCAGTGCCGGTTAAGAATAGGTACATAATGCAAACCACGTAATACACAGCGAGAGAACTGACGCCACAGAACTCCACAAGTCGGAAAATCAGCCGGCCAGTTGCATCGGTTGCCCCAGTGACGTCATATGACGCGGTAGCGGCGGCCCGTCGCTCATCGGGGTTTCCGCCGCTGCAGTCGGCACCGAACGCACATCCCCAGCTCGCGACCCGAGCGGAGCTGCGGACGCGGGCGGCGCCAGGCACAAAGGGTGACATATACGGGGCCCGCCCGCACGCGGGATGGCAGGAGGGGCGGCGGGACGGAGTCACGCCGCTGGGGACGGGTCATTTCCGGCAGGGATCGGCGGCCTGCTGTTAGCGGTGTGCCAGCCCAGCAGTCGCGTGTGCACCAACTGAAGCTCATCCCACGATGAACCGACTCGGGCGCAGTACATGCGTTCGGGGTAAGAACCCATGGATGCAGCAATAATTACAAGCCCATGCTCCCCCCCCCCCCTCCCACCCAAGTGCGATACCAGTGCAACGCACCGCAGCGGCAAAAACAGCGCCAGCAGTGACTTCAGGCAGGCAGTTGGACCCATTTTCAGCAGCCCATTCGCCGTGTGGTGCTGAAATCATTTAACGACCGCCTCGCTCCTGCTGCTGGCCCGCTCCAGCTGCCTACGTCCCCGCGGTGACCAATCACATCACGGCCAGCGACGCGACCAACCAATCATCCCGGCGCCGACGCTGCAGCCACCAATTGTGACGGCGTTGGCGCCGCAGCCACCAATCGCGATGCAACCGGCCGACGCAGCATCCCACCAATCAAGACGCGGCATGAGCTCGGCCGCCCAATCAGCGTCGTGCGGCGACGCGGCCTTGGCCGCCGCGGGGCGCGGTTTGTACTGTCGGCCGCTGCTGCGCCGCGGCGGCGCTCCTCTCAGTGGCCGTTGGCGAGCGGCTCGGCCGGCTCGTTCAGCAGCAGCGGCGGCATAAAGCGGCGCCCCGCCACCAGCGGCTCGAGCGCCTCGCCCGCGTACGACACGAGCGGAGAGATCTCGCAGATGACCGGGTCCTCCCACTTCACCCACGACTGCTGGCTGCAAAGGAACGGCGCCGTCAGCAGACGGTCGGGCCGGCACAGCATGTGTGACGTCACGCCGACAAGGGCGGGCTCACCAGCAGGGTAGCGCAGTACAACGTGTTGTCCGACGACAGTGACATAGCCAAAGCCTAGAATTCGACTTCCATAAATTTAGTTAGCAATATCCGGCTGGCGAACTGGCATACGCATGTGCAGACACACTCCTTGATTCGTCTGTCTGTAACCACGTCAGTAAAATTTGCTGACAATGGAGCTTTCAAACGTCCCGCAGCATCCATCGAGAACATTTCGCCTGGATGGAAGCAAATCACGCGCTGCAGACGGCGCATGCCACGAGCGCACGCAAACGCCAACACCCGACACTGCACGGCCCAGGTGTGCACCGCACCACACCCGTGCAATGTCACCGATCAATGCAGCTGGCGGCCAGCTGGCTTACGAACTCCAGCAGCGCGGCGCGGCTGCCGACGACACCGCACAGCCGCGTCCCAGTCGCAGGTCCCGGTCGGGCCCGACGGCTTGCGTGGCAGTCAATGAGTGTGGCGATCGGTCTCCGGCACTCACCCCTTGTTGTTGTTGGCCTCGGAGTGTTTGGTCGACTCGACGCTACCGATGCACACGGCGAGCCGTTAGTGAGAGGGCGGCGGACGCTGACAGCGACGCAGCGGAAGGGCAAACTCAGGGAACAAAGGACGAACGGCAATATGTTCTGGCGCCACTCGCATGGCCACTACGCATTATACAGTGGCAAGCCAAAGCAAGCGCCAGCTACACAGATGAAGCGTAAAAAGCATGGCAAACGCAACAACGCAAGAACATATAATGCAAGAACGCTTAGAAGAGCAGCGAAGAGTTAGGGCATACACAGTTCCGGATGCACCGGTTCTATGTTCGATACGCCGGTTCTATAAGGCGCATTCATGGATAAGTCGTGCAACTGGCCAGATCGCGGGAATCACACCGGTCTGCGAAACCTGCTCGAGCAGCTACAGGCGTCGAAACTTACCGACGACATCAGCACGGCACGTGAGTTCTGTCCTGAGAATCCAGGGATCGCGAGGGTCCCGCACCGGAGTGTGGGCATACTAACCTGCCTGACTAATAATGGTCCGGGGCAGTGTGCCGAACAACATACAGTATGTCGCACGGCATACAGTATGCCGCCCCAAACATCCGTGGGACGGTGCCGCCCCTCTGCCTGGCCAGCCGCGGCCCAGCTTCGCTGCGGACCAGCGGGGCCGGGGGACCCCCTGCCGAGCACGCCGCCGCCGCCTCTCACCCGGGTATGAGTGGGATGGGCTGGCCATCCTCGTCCACGAACTGCCCTCCTGAGGCGAGCACATAGCGCTGGTGGAGCGAGCAGAGCGCCAGGCGGGCCGTGGTGGGCGTGTCCTTCTCGGCGCCGTCGGCGTTCTTCAGCGGCGAGAACTCGTCCTCGCGCAGCACCTCCCAGACGGCGAAGTTCCTGCGCCGCGGCGGGCGCCACTGTCACCAAACACGGCCGCGGAGGACACGGCCCGCAAAGGCACCTCAGCTCACACCAAGGAGCTTTTAAGGTATTGCGCCTACATGAAAGATAAACATCGCACCGAGACGGGTGCCACAGCGCGGAGGGAGAAGCAACAGAGCGCGTGGCATCCGTGCGAGTTCCTATTTCCCGCCGAGGACCTTTCACAAGGTACGAGCGACACAGACGAATGTCACTGTGACGGCACAGCGTTTATGTGTAGTGGAGGGCTGTGGGAATGGGAGAGTAAATAGGACACTTTCAGCGTACTACGAATATCAGTTCTCAGAACAAAGACATAGCTTATTTGGCACCTAGCAGGCAGGAATTCGAGAAACATAACCATAAATGTTCCGCTTATAGCCAGCGTGGCCTGGCCGACAGAATACCATGGTCGTACTCTGATGACTTTAACCTGACAATCACACAAGTCGAAGCCATGAAAAAGCAGAATCTATTTCTCATCGCTGACGTGCATGACCAATGCAGGATGCTAAGCTTGTTGCGGACGCTACAGTCAGATCGGGTAATACAGATCCTTTCAACTGATGAACGGGTATAAGCACACAAAGAATCAAAAGGACAATCTCAAATCCTCTTGCGCTCTACGTGAACACGACACTCACTTGGAGAACTGGAACACGTCGAACACGAACTTCTCCATCTTGATGCCGTTGGGCCGGTCCGGCTTCTGGGTCTGCCCCGCCTCGTCCACGTATGGAATCTTCTTCTTGGCCACATGGTGCAGCAGCTCAGTCTCGTGCTCCCTGGTGACACGTGCGGCCCGGCTGGTGAGCGAGCCCGAGGCGGCTGGGCGCACAATGCACGTGACAAGTGCCGTACACCACGCGGTCGCCCGCGGTCGTTACAGCACCGCACGTCACGTAGCTAGTGGTCGGGCCGGGCCCCAACCTAAGAGCTCGTGTCTGTACTTGCATTTTAACAGAAATACGTGAAGAGCATCAGCTGTGAATCTACTAATTTCAAATATGCTGCTTATCTGCGCTCTTTCATCACTAATATATGTTTGAACATATTACATTCCGACCCTTTCAACAGAGAAACAAACTTCAAAGCTTGAAAGATTGAACATACGGTTACTGTCACGAATTCCAGGCCAGCTTGTCAATAGACGCAGTACGCTAATGATTACAAATTGTGCAGCACAAGCACCTGGTACGAACATTACGAATAAAACCATCACCACGTCAGGCTATTTGAAACAGTCCTGGAGCGTGCGTCCAGCCAGCACGTTTACCGTCAGCCCGGACAGGACAGCTGCCGGACATCTTCTGGGACTGATCGGAGTAAGCAGGACCAGTATGGGACAACCCGACCACCGTCTGCACATAACGGCGATGACGGCGGTCCCGGACGGCCGCGAGCGTAATTTACAACCCTGACCGAGGACGACCGAGGTGGCGGGTGGCCACGAGCGTAATTAAAAGCGCCGGTCGGTGATCAGCACTGCCTGTGGCAAACACACCCGATAACCTATCTCAGGACCGCGCTGGACCGGCGCGCTCGCGCCGCCCCTCCCCGCCACCTGCGGGAGGGTCACACGGTCACCAGAGGCGCGCGAGACCCCACGCCACGCCCACTGCGGAAGCAGCGGCGATGGAGCCGAGGTCGCCTCAGCAGCAGACACGTGCGTGACGTCCAGCCAACACCGGGCAGCGGGCCGGCGCTAACCCCCCCCCCCCCCCCCCCCCCGCCACACTGAGCAGGACACGGGCGCGGGAGTCTCCCACCTGACAACGTAGCGCAGGAAATCGGCCGTGAAGAAGTGGTTGCAGATGGAGCCGGCCGAGAACGTCAGGCGGCCGTCGGGGTTTCGCCTCTGGGCCGTCTTGAGCGTGATCTCCGAGTACTCGACCACCTGGTAGTGGCCGTCCACCTGGCAGACGACGCCCACCGCCTCCGTCGGGAACGCCTTCTCCACCACCTGGCGGGGGCGCGGGGAGGGGAAGCCGTCAGACGTGGAACGTACGGCGCACTGGCGGGTGGGGCCGCCACGCTACGTGAGTGACGTAACGTAACGGCCCCAAGCACGTTGTAAACTGAGATGTCTACATCGACTGGATGCCGTGCGCTGACGGCAGTCTGGGTCTTAAGGCCTTCTAAAACCAGATGAACGCTGCATGTGGATTACTTGTTGGAGCTCACCATAACGCCGCGACTTGGTCATGTGGCCCCGATCCATTTTGTTCCGATGACTAAAGCGCATAATATAGCTCCTTTTATCATGGCAATGGGCGTTGATGCATGAGGTGAGCACGTAGCGCTGCCTCACGAAATCATCATCTGTCGTTGATCCGCGGTCCATTGAGTGGTTGACCCGCACGCACACACGAGCCACACGACCGAGCCCCTCCGTGGCGGTCTCTGTGATCACCGAACAGCACGCGCCAAGGGGTCACAGTCCGGTCGCGCGGGTCGCAGTGACTAACCCCCATCACCGACGTTCAAAGCCCCGCCGGCCGCGAACAACGCCCGAAGACACCGTCTGGACGGGGTCACGACCCGAGCGTCCCGCGGTGGATCGAGTGGCAAGTGCGCTGTCCGTGCACGCCTGGTGTAATCCAAACAGACGGGTTCCGCTTTCATAACCGATCGATAAGGCGGACGAGTCTGTCTGAAATCAACTCTGCACAAACAGCGCTGGCGCACGTGCTGCGGGTTCAGCGGCCTGCCCGCCGTCCACGCCAGGCCGGGTGCTCAGGAGATCCCTGCCTGTCCCGATGGACGGCTGCCGCGACACCGACGCGACAGTGGCTTCAGCTCGGCACTTCTAGAACGGTGTCATTTCGGGGTTGGATGTCAGCTGACCGTCGCAAAGGGGACATTTGAGCCACACACACTCACCTGTGATGTAAGCGACGCGTCCCACTGCTGTCTATCTAATAAGAGCCATTTTCCCAGACACATCCGGCGAAATACTGAAATTCAACTCAACTTACCTCGCTAGGTCTTCCTCCAAAGTTATCAAACCGGACACCAATATCACAATCGATCACGATTATCGCCATGCGCATCCGCCCGCGGAAGCATGGGCGAGTTTTCGTCACCCACCTTTTACCCAGTATGTTTACAGAACAGGTACGATCAATGATTGAAACATTTTCAAAACAAATATAATTCCCTACTCGATGATGTAGTAGAGTAACAGAGCTCAAAATTACGGAACCACGTATCAGCATCACATAACAAATCCCAATTACTCAGGTTTGACCAAAGGTGGTAGGGTGCAAAAGTATGGGCCCAAACACCAGAAATCGCGAGCCAATACCGAAAATCGTGATCCCACCCGGGACATTCATCAGCCAAGTTTCCCACAAGGACACTTACACAGCAGGAAAACAAGAACGGTACGCTATGGTCGCAGATTGGTTTTACACTACGCTACTCAAATATGACACCATAGTTGTTAATGAGCCCATTTCTTTCATTCTAAAAAATAGATGCTCTGGTTGTCTCTGTCCGCATAGGTTCAGCATTTGTCATTACTTTTGAAATAAATAAAAAATTGTCTAGCCGCCATATCCTGCTGGACACATTTGACGATCATGGAACCGATTTTTCACCTTACCGCTTTCGGTGTGCACTACTGCAGGCTAGTAGTCAATTTCGAAACACACAGCCAAGGTTGTGTTATTCTCTGGCCATGTCACGAGCGCGTCCACATGTCACGATGCACGTCACGTTACGTCGTACGTCCAGACACGATATCGTCACCGTGAGTCGACCCTTACCTCCCATGCCCCCTCCCCCCTTCCGCCGACGCTCAACACGCTCACCGCCGCCTGCTATCTCACCTTGGCACCGCAGTCAGCCCCGCGCGAGATGCAGTAGCCCATGAACACGGGGTCGGCCATCTTCACCAGGATGTTGTCCACGCAGTAGACGTGCAGGTACTGGACGCCGCGCTCGGCCATATCCTGCAGCATGTTCTCCCGCTCCAGGGCGCGGTAGAGGCCACCGTTGCCGTCTGGCGCGTGCGCCACCCGGTCGGGCGCCTCCAGGATGATCTTGCCGTCGAAGCTGAAGCACGGCAGCGTGCCCTGCTCGAAGAACACCAGGTCCTGCTTGTCCAGGCCGAAGAAGTCGTTCTTCTCGAAGAAGCGCACAGTGGGCTCCTTGGTGGACTCGCTGGTCATCACGTACCACGTGATGCGGCCGCCGGCGCGACCCGTCCGCTCGGCGGCCAGCCGCTGCAGCCGACGCACGCGCTCCGACTGCAGCTGGTACAGCGTCTTGCGCGACGGCAGGCCCACGTCGTACATGCCCTTGGGGTAGCTGACGCCGAGGCGCGTGCCCTGACCGCCGGCCAGCAGCAGCACGCCCACCTCACCGCGCGAGACCGCCTCCAGCCCTGTAGAGAGCGGCCGCCATGCGTGAGCACGCCGGGGAGGGGTGCGCTCCACCGGAGCATAGGGAGAGGATCTCCAGACCTGGAGGCGGCAGTCGCTGCACGTGAACTCGAGGACGGAGAGGCGGCAGCGGACACATGTGACGACAGACGGGGAGGGGACGCACCACAGCAGGCCCAGGGGGAAGCCTACGGGCCTGAAGGCAGCGGCAGGCACACGCGACAAGCACATCCAGCAGCTATGCCCCTACCACAGGCCACCGTGCCGCCAGAAGAACCTGGCTCAAGAAGCCCGCTGGGATGCAGGCGATCACTCTTTTCACGGTCGTTGGACTGTTTGGCGTGATGGTTGTACGAGGCATCGTGGTCAGGCAGCACCCAGCTGCCCATTAGGAAGCGAATTCTGCACCACGCCAAGATTAATTCTCGAACGACTTCACTGCGTGTCCTGCCCAATTTAGCCCATGCAGATGCGTAGCGAGGATGAAGGAACACCTGCGCCTGCCTTGAGGACATTCAGAGGGGACGGATCTTTGGATCAATAGTGACCAAAAACAGCACTTCACGAACAAAGCCAACACCTGTGCCAGCATCATGCGCCATTGACGACAGCAAAGCCCGACACTATCCACCCATCGACGCATCAACATCAGAAAAACATGGTAAAAAAAATCGCGGTCACAGGGGGTGCCACAGAGTGACACCGAACTGTCGGGTGGTCACACAAAGTGTATGTCGGGTGGGGGTGCATTAAGCACCGCTCGATTTGGCGCGCTGCCCCCCCCCCCTCCCCAGGGGGGAGTGTGTGAGGAGCCCACTTTCGACCCGTCGCCCAGGTGCGACGCGGCGTTTTATGCGCCGCCCACCCCGGCAGGTGGTGAGCGAGCGGCGGCCCCGGCCGGCGCGGGACGAGTCCCAGGCCCGTGCGGCGGCGGCGGCGGTGGCGGCAAGGGGTACGCGTTCCATAGGACGAGACTTGGCGACCGCACGTCGTCAACCTCCAGTCTCTACCACTGTGAATTGTTGTGAATTGTCGGTGATGCCGGTGGATTTCCGCCATCGGGCGCTGACATCTGGAATTTCGTGCCGGCGCGCCCCCACCACCGGGACCCGGGTGCCCGGTAACACACATCGGCGAACCCCACGCCCGCGCCGGCGCCGGGTCTGACACCCCCGCCGCGGCACGTACCGACGTCGTTGTAGCGCTGCAGCTCCTCGGGAGAGGAGCGCACCACCGAGCCGAACACGTCGGCCGGCACCGGCTTCAGCCGGTCGTCCAGCTTCTCCTGGTCCTCGGCCTCCTCCAGCGTGCTCCGGTAGAACGCGTTCACCTCCGGCAGGTCGATGCTGTCGGTGGAGCGGCGCTCAGTCGAGTGCGCGGCAAGAGGGATAAGCGACACATGCACCTACGCTACCTGTACTCAGCAACAGCATGCAAGAACACGCGCATCGTGGGGCCATGCCACTACCCTGTAAGAATCCACAGTGATGGAGCACTGGCTGAGGTTTCGGAGTTTAGGCGACGATCAAATAAGGAAGTAGGCTGGATCGAGGCAGCCTCATCCCATGACTATCACCGTCGTCCGACCTCAATCAAGCGGACAGCCAGGACTGCGGCCTGTATGTTCTGCGCCAAGGCCACCAATGGTGATGTTCGCTTCTCGACAGCAACCGGGACGCCACGAGGCGAGAGCGGGACGCGGACAGGCGCTCATGTCGAGTTCAGCTGTCCGCCGGCTGAGGAGGTCCTGACGGGGCGGGGAGGGGGCGGGGCCGGCAGCAGGGGCGTCAACACAGGTGGGGCGGCCACCTGATGCGGCACGGGCCGGCAACGAATCACCGCCCCACTCTGCACGGAAAAACTGCAGGGAGAGGGTTTCTAATATCAGCAAGCTGCCGACAGCATGCTACTTTCGACTGATGCGTCCTGACAAAACTAAGATAAGAAGACGTGACTCTAGCACCGGTAACCTTCGATCTGTGACTGGTACCGGCTTCTCCTGCCAGGCCTTAGCCTGCAAGCGATCAAGGGGTGACCACGTGTTGGCTAAACACCCCGGACGGCCATGACACCGGTTCTGCCGCTGAGCGCCTACACCGGTGAGCTCCGCTGCCTCGCCCGCTCCCTGGCCGTCATCGCCCGCCCCAGCCTGCCGCACTCACCCTCTGAGGTCATTGTAGAGCTTGCGCTGCCGCTGCGGCTCCAGGTCCGACCAGAACCGAAGCACGTGCTCCTGGCCGACCTTCTCTAGGTCGGCGCGCAGACTGTCCACGTCCATGCTGTCCTGGAGCGACGCCGGATGTCAGGAGAGCACACACAAGACGACGTCGGCAGGAGCACGCGCGCCGCTAGCGTAGTGCGACCGTGCTGACACAGATCACGGGAATGGTGGAGGAGACGTGCCTGAGCCCCCCAGTGGTTCGTTTCCACCTCTCGTTCGTACGCTCCTTCGTGCAGGTTCTGCAGGATACAGAGCTGGCGGGATCCTAGTGCTCATGACTGGCACAGTACAGCAATACAAATCTACCAACGACTGGGAAACGATCCCGCTCATCTGCGACGGTGGAGCGCTCCCAGCACGACACCCGTTCCCATGCTGGTGCGGTCCGTCCCCAGCAAGCATGCCACTGTCTCACTGCTGGTGTGGTTCATCCGCAGCCGCAGCTGCCCCCTCCACTTTCTCCTTAGATGACACCAAGTCCTAGATGCATTTAAAGGGAGCAGGAAGGCCGTAGTACGTGGGAAACTACCGACTGGAGCAGCTGGGGTAGGCCGTGTATAGGAAATTTCTGTCTGGAGCAGGGGTGGCCAGTGGGTGAGGACACCAGTCTGGGGCAGGGGTGGGCCGTGTGGAGGAAATTACTGTCTGGAGCAGGGGTGGGCCGGAAATGACAGACTGCCGCTGGGGCAGGGGTAGGCATAAATGGGAGATTACTGTCTGGGACAGGTGGCAGTGCGGAGGAGATTACTGTCTGGAGCAGGGGCGGGCCGTGTGTAGAACATAACTGTCTGGGACGAGGGTGGGCCGTGAGTGGGAGATTACTGTCTGGAGCAGGGGCGAGCCGTGTGTAGAACATAACTGTCTGGGACGAGGGTGGGCCGTGAGTGGGAGACGCCAGTCTGGAACAGGGGTGGACCGTGTGTAGAATATTACTGTCTGGGACGAGGATTGGTAGTGATTGGGAGATTGGTAGATTGGTAGTGAGTGGGAAATTACTGTCTGGGACAGGGGTGGGCTATGAGAGGGAGATTACTGTCTGGGACGAGAGAAGGCCGTGAGTGGGAGATTACTGTCTGGGACGAGGGTGGCCGTGAGTGGGGGACGTCAGTGTGGAGCAGGGGTGGGCCGTGAGTGGGAGACGCCAGTCTGGAGCACGGGTGCACCGTGTACAATATTACTTTTTGGGCCTAGGGTTGACCATCAGTGGGAGATTACTGTCTGGGGCAGGGGTGGGCTGAGTGGGAGATTACTGTCTGGGGCAGGGGTGGGCTATGAGTGGGAGATTATTGTCTGGAACAGGGGTGGGCCGTGAGTGGGAGATAACTGTCTGGGGCAGGGGTGGGCTATGAGTGAGAGATTATTGTCTGGAACAGGGGTGGGCCGTGAGTGGGAGATTACTGTCAGGGGCAGGGGTGGGCGAGTGGGAGATTACTGTCTGGAGCAGGGGTGGGCCATGAGTGGGAGATTACTGCCTGGACGAAGGTGGGCCGTGAGTGAGAGATTACTGTCTGGGACGAGGGTGGGCCGTGAGTGGGAGGCATCAGTGTGGAGCTGGGGCAGGTCGTGAATGCGAGATTACTGTCTGGGGCAGGGGTGGGCTATGAGTGGGAGATTGTTGTCTGGAACAGGGGTGGGCCATGAGTGGGAGATTACTGTCTGGAACAGGGGTGGGCCGTGAGTGGGAGATTACTATCTGGGACGAGGGTGGGACATGTGTGGGAGATTTCTGTCTGGAGCAGGGGTGGGCTATGAGTGGGAAATAACTGTCTGAAGCAGGGGTGAGCAGTGTGGAGATTACTGTCTGGAGCAGGGGTGGGCCGTGAGCGGGAGACTACCGTCTGGGGCAGCTGGGGTGGGCTCTGTAGAAGAGATTGCTGTCTGGGACGAGGGTGGGCCGTGAGTGGGAAATACTGTCTGAGGCAGGGGTGGACCATGAGTGAGAGACACCAGCCAGGGGCAGGGGGTGGGCTGTGAGTGGGAGACTACCGTCTAGAGCAGGGGTGCATCGCGTACAGGAGTCTCCGCTTAAAGCACAGACTGGTAGCCCGTGCGTGACTCCTGTGGGCGGGCAGACCCACCCCTGGTCCGGGCCGTGCTCGGGGGTGCCTGTCCAGTGTTCGGGGCTAGTGCACTTGTTTACGGGGCGGCTCGGCGGCGGCCCTACCCCAGGCGTCACCCCAGGGCTCTCACGGGAAGGGGAGCCGACGGCGCGGGCGATCCTGACCGCCACGGGCAACGTCGGCTCAAGGTCACCGAGCGCGGCGCGCTCCCGTACCTCATGACGCCGGCGACCGGGGTCAAATGGAGCGAACCCGTGAGCGGGGTCAAATTGAATGGGGTGCATTGGAACGGATTGGGCTCACGGTAGCAGGTAGTCTCAACTTCACAGTAGCACCGTATGGACTGTACAAGGCGTTAAGCAAGGCGTACCAACGCCTGATTGGTGATAAGCGGGGAAGGAGCACGGGGAAGCCAAACATCGCTGCCGTTGTTTAAAAGGATGGCACTTTATCGCGCCCAGATCCAGAGATGAGCAAACATAAACGGTGGAAAAGAATCCTGTACGTTAAGCGGTTTGCTCATCGTTCCTGAGCGCATCAAATAGCCAAGTGATGGTGCGTCAGACGTGATGCCGTCTTTAGATTTCTATTCGTTCTGCATAGAAAAACGGACATCAAAAATCACATTCAGTGCCATAAAAGATGGAAAAGTATACCCTAATGCGCCATCGTTTCGAACAACTTCAAGGAAACCTCTGCTAGGCTGGGTCAAACGAGCACCGTCATTATGTGAGCAATTCCCTGCTTTCCGACTCAATATACAATGGGAAAAAAATGGAACGACACCCAACCGTCGTCTATAGCTTCTCCCAGGTCCCGCCAGAGAAGGTGATATCGGAATCCCATTTATCGCGACCCTCATACCCAGGCCAAGCAGAAGAAACAACGGAAACATACCACCACACCGTCATCAACGTAATACCCTTTCACACCCACTCAAAAAAGTAGCTACGTTGCGGAGGCGCCCAGCGAGAGCAGCGACCGCCTCGAGCACGGCGTTGCACGCTGTGCCGGGCGACACCTCCGCGCGCCACAGCTGGGAGCTCCGCACCTGCCTGTGATCGCCTCCTGCGTCCCCGCACTCGTAACAGACCAACGCACGCGCACGGCAGCGATCCGGCCCGGCCGCCCGCCGCGCCGTTATATACTAGAAACGAGCAGGGTTATCGCCGTCGACCGCCCCGACACCTACCGGCGCCGGACTGAAACAGTCCCGGGTCGGCGCGGCTCGTTCGGCCCGCGGCACGTGAGGCCAGGCCCGTCGCTGCGCATGCGCGGTCATCCACTGGCTCCGCCACGGGTGGAGGGGGTGGGACGGCGTGCTTTCAACGATGCGGAATTGAACCTTACACAGATAGGCGTTGGCTAAAGAAGAAACATTTTTAAAGCCCTGAGCGCCCACCCAATAAAGTTGGGCCCATGGTGGGGCCCCCGTTCAGTAACGAAGCAGTCTTTCAAACCTCGGGGTACACCGACCGACAGATACTCGGACAGAACTTTTTACCGGAGACTGATCACCTTGGGTAATAACGGGGACATCACAAAGAAGTCAGTTAACCGGAAATCCCACGTACTTTCGATAACTGCGCGACGATAGCGACCACGATATGTTCTGACACTTTCATATGTAACTAGTATACATATATGTATCCTAATTTTCCGTTCGGAAAATGGCCCAATGTCACAAAGCTGTTTGGTTTTTTAATAAAGACGTCAACGATCTTTAATACCCGGCTCAAATTTTGCCGAGATCCGCACAGCGTAGTTGTATCGGAGAACATCACTTATACCATGTAGCGGCTTCAACTGGAGTTTCCAATGAAAGTTTACTTTCAAATACGCGATGCATCTTACGATCGTGGTAAGTCTCCAACATCGTCTTTTGTGTGCTTGCCTTCAGTATATATGTATTTGTGTTCAACCCGTTAAAGCCAGGCCAGAATTAAGCAGTCCTAAAGTCATGGAACAACCACTGAAACAATACTCGGCTTAAATCTGAAAACGGGGGCGCATACAGAATTTCGCGATGTAGGGGGGCACAGCTCTGAAAACCTATCTAAGCGCGCCGCGGGCATCAAAACTGCTTGCATGGCGTAAAAGAATAACACGTGTTCCCAATCTGATTATTTTAATATGCCTCCACGAATTTGTGTATGAAAATTTATTCGCCACATGCTATCACATGCAGGAAGTTTGATTAATGGAGGGGGGTACGTCCTCTCGAAGGCCACTATATAAATAAGACTACTATAAGGGGGGAAAGGGAGCTAACTGCTGGCTCTTCGGGTCGACATTAAGAGCGCGCTGGTGACAACCGCGCTCGAGGCTCCCGTGGTCAAGGCTGGAAGCAGGACGCGCATCATACAACATGAACCCAACGCAACTGGATCACCGGCATACAGCAGAGAACTTGAAGGCAATTCCAGGTGGGGAGCATGACAGCTTTCGGGCATTTACGTATTGCTCCAGGGTAGTTCACCGGTGGCGGACATCTGTGCTGAATGAATATATCTTCCACCGAAATCAATTTTTGTTTCCTTTACATTCCACTCGCAATCCGCCCCTTCATTAATGAGGCTGGATAATATACGGCTGGTCAGGTCAGGTCAGTGACGACTTCAATTCACCAACTTGGGGGAGGCAACGCACTGCAGCCCGTTGTCCGGTTACGTTCAATTACGTTTCACACGATGGAAGATTGATTGCAAAATGTAACGAACGTAAATCGTGTCGCAAAACACAAACTTATCCTGGTGATGAATACACCATTTAACCTACTGTCAGAACGCCTGCATTCCATTTTTTAAAGATTTGTTCCGAACCCTCTGAATAGATAGATTTCTGGGATCAGAGCTCACGCTAAGCAGGGCTTGTTGTGTGAGCTCTGACCCGTACCACCCGATCGCATAATTCCATGTCAACGGCAGAATTTCGTGGCAAAAGCTTAACGTGTCGCATTGCTCGGCACGGTCCGTCCTGCCCTCTGACGTTAACTGACTTTCGGCGCGACCGGTGCCGCCGGCCGCGGGCCATACTTGTCAAGGGCAAATTGCGCGCGCCTAAAGCGACTAGAACCCACCGCGCCACGGGTGGGTGCATCGGAGGGCGGGCGCTCCAACCAACTGGGCCACCGGGACGGCAATTCGTGAATGACCTTCCGGATCTTCAAGGTTAATGCGAAGAATTTGGTATCAACAAGGCATCATGATCACGCCTCGAAGCAACGTGTTATTTTCTACAAACATGAGGCCGCAAGGGAGTGAATGTCGAGGAACGGGGAGGGTCACGCTGCCACATCACGACTGCTGCTATAAACATGGCTACAAACGCAGTGCTACCAGACCACATCTACGCCGCATAACTTCTACGGCTCAGAAATCCTACGGGCAGCCCCTGCACACAAAAAACCCTCGGGCGTAATATCTATGCGACGGTACTCGTATACGGCGAGACCACTACGGAAAATCCCACATGAAATCACTTACAATGATAAAACGTCCGTTGATTTAACGTCTACTGACGACACTTCCACGCCGCCGACGTTCTGCAAACAAAGCTCCTTCACGGCGTGATCGATAGGGATACAACTTTTATCAAACGAGAGCGTCGGCCGTCAAAACTGTTGCGGAAAAAGACATCGGCATTCCATGTTTACACGTGTTTTATCATGCACACATAGGAGCACGCGCAATCTTGCCTAGCAATGTTAGATTAGGTTCGGTTACGTCGCAGTAGTTCTCTTTTAGAAAGCGACAGAGTAATATCGGGTAGGGATTTTGTCTGCGCGAGTCTTGCAGCGTACAAAGTTTTTCCACGATATTTTTGCCAGTAGAAGAAATGCTGTGTGAGTTTTGTCTGCGCCAGTTATCACACTCAGCGGCAATACCTGGCATTCTGTGGCGCGTCGACTGCAAATGGTCAGGCAGCGTCGTGGCAATGTTGCACGGAGTTTTGCCGGTGGCTGCGGTGCCATGCAGCAGTTTTGTCACGAGCCGTCAAAGAATTGTACTGCGCACGAGCTTTCATCGGATAATTTTTTGTCGACAGACAACGGTGTAGAGTGGCAGCTTACGCCACATCAGCTTTGACATGTACCGCTAAATGGGAGTAAACGTTTTGCTAGGAGCCGTGTCGTGAGAATATGGTCGGCACCAGTTGTACCCAGCAGTTTCGGGGCGGAAAAGAAGAAAATCGGGCAGGCTCATAGCGAAATTCCGAATTCAAGCATTTGCTAAAAACATCCCAAAAACTCAAAGAACGAAATGGACAATAAGTGCCTGCCAGACTACGCTACCACGACGAACGTTTCCACTCGCAGCGCTGCCACCAGCGTACAAGACGTGACACAGGGAAAGTCAAGGAGGGGGGGGGGGGGGGGGCACGGCGCCGCCGGTCAACAGAGCGGCGCCCACTCGACCCACATCACAGGCCCATCTCCTGGCGACCGTGCGAACGAGGAGCGCCGCGCCAGATAGCGCACCCCGGCGCCATCAGGTCACCCTTCACTGGGCCGCGGCGCGGCATCCGTGGGAAGCGCGGCGCTCCGTCCCGCCGCACGCGCGCACTGGACACAGAAGAGGTGGGGCCGGAGAGGCAGAGGGCGCGGTATGGCGGGACACTCGGGAGAGCATGCGTGCTTAATGATCATGGCGGCGTGGACCAGCTGGCGTCAGGACTCCACGTGCATCACTTGTTTGTGACACAGCGTCACTCGGACAGGTCACCTGTTCACAGCCATGTAAATATGTTTCCCAATGCCATGATAACTTGCTGTAATGCATCTGACATTGCCACATTCCAGGCGTGCGTCGAAACTTTCATTCGATAACAGTGCATGAAAAAGTGACGTTTGTGTTTCTGTGCTTAAAGCAATGTTGTGATAGTAGAGATTGCCACTAGATCAAAAGCAGGATTTCGTGCCCCACAATGTCTCCAGAAGGTCATTTGTTAACCAAGTTTGTGCTGCAATACAAGGTTTTGCCTTTCACTTAGTCATACTCCGGAGTATCACGTTTCTTGGGCTACAAAAAGACTTACAAACATCCCGACATTTTTGACAAAGTTCGATAATCCCAACCGCGATACCAACAAGCCGAGACGCCTCACCGTCATGGTATTTGGGACGACCCGTGCGTGTAAATGCCGCCACTAAAAATGCTGGGCAAACCGGTCAAGTGTCGAGAACTCTATCTAATCTGATGCTTGAGGGCGCCGCACTTGGCGGGATCACCATCTTGACCAAACGCTGTTTGGCGCGCGCCTGACATCTCGTTGTTCCATTGACCCCAAAAGCACGGTGCACGCCGCCCCCATATTTACACGATGATGATAACAAGTCGGTCATCGACGCGTCCAACCGCAGCGGTCAAGAGCGCGACACGCACTTGCATGAATACGAGTACGCGTCTTCTATCGTTGCTTTCTACGGAGCGACAGCCGGGACAGTGAAGGAGGACTTAATGCTACAGCATGAGGTGTGGCCAGGAAGCAGTAATGGTGTAAGGCTGAGGGTATTTTTGTCGCATATTTTACGGCACATGGTCACGTCTTGACCTTACTGCAGGGCGCAAGTTTTCCGTCTTGTCGCTGGACGACGTTAATTAATGATGGTTAAACATCCACATGTCATTCAGTGAAGGTGATGACTTGGGCCTCAGCCCATGGGCCTTTAAAACTGTGTGGTTATTCAGTGACCTGTGCCATTTACTAATGCATATGATGACATATTGGGGCAAATGACCTTTGATGGAGCAGTGTAAGGCAATGAAGCAAAACATGTAAATTTGGGCCTGTTTTGTTTTCAGCACAATGCATATGTGATAGCAGGGAAAACAGTGTTGTAAGTGTTTGCATCCCAAATCACATGGTGATGGTACTGATTGTAAATGTGACTTGTGATGTGCCATATCAGTTCACATATGCCAAGCATTGTGTGCATAGGATGCACACCAATGTCCTGAAACTCACTGTGTTCTCTCCTGATGTGTCAACAGCAGATGTGCTCCTTGCTGCTCCCATGGCAAACTGGAAAGAAAAACAGATCCTATGATTAAATGAGTGGCTTACTTATGTCATGCTGACTTTGGCATATATAGATGGATAGATAGATACATAGATAAATATATATATATATATATATATATATATATAACTTATGGATGTGGCATGTCATATTAATTTACATGTATCAAGCCATGTATACATAGAGGCTACCAAAATGTCCCAAAAGCTATGGCTTCTCCATCTATGTGTCACTAGGAGATGTATTCCTTGCTGCTCCTATGTCTACCATCTATCATTCATACTGACCCTGAGGAAGATGCCGCAAAGTGCACTGAAATATAGGTCTATAAATATAAGTCATGAAACAAACATTCCTCAGAAACCACTGAAATCAAATTACAAACAACAATGTTAGGATTTTAAAACAGTTTTTGGCACTCTTGCGTAGGCACACATGATCTTAAACTCTGCTTCATGCCCCAACCTCGAGCAATGATCCCATGAGTGCAGGATGCATGGACCTTCATGATGAAAAAATGCCAAAGAGTAATCTATATGTTATTCTTCAACATTAAAACTGAGCTCTAGCAGTATTGGGAATAGAGATTTCAGGGAGCAGAATTCTGCTTGTCCAGAAAATGTTCTCTGAGCAGGCCTTTCTCTGCCAGTTGGCAAAAAGTCCATCCCCTGCACCAGATTTAGATGTTGGGCTTCTCACCCACATGTGATATACTAAGGGCTTGTGAATATATGCTGTGCATATACTCAACTTCTGTCTACGTGACAGCCAGCTGGACATGTTTAGCATAAGTTGCATACTTTGCAGAGTGATAATGGGTTACTACTACTTAGAGAGGTATTTCAGGTACTTGGCACTGTTGGGCCCCAATGTAAAACTGCTTGTGCAAAAGCATACCCTATCATTCTGAAGAAACACACATTTTGCTCTTTCCAGTGTACTTCTTCCTATCCACATTCAATGTATCCAGATGTCACCTTTGTTTTGTCCCTACCCTTCAATTTCACGTGGCTCGCAGAGATACTGCACAACCAATCGGCCTAAAACCCTGGAATGTTACGGCAGCTCCCACACAGGCATCTTCAGCCCTGGTTTTTAGACAAGCCAACGCCCGCTGTGCGGTGATTGATCTCCCTACCAACGCTTCAGCGAACGACTCGATGAAAGCATCACTGCTCCTTAAGGCATTGCATAACTTAAAATACAGCATGCGCATGACACACCAACCTATATGACTAACCGACAACTCCCCCGCTTCGGCACGGCAGTGAACGGAAGCCGACAACAATGTACTTCAGAGCATTCCTCAATATTCTTCAATTGGAGATGCTGCGTCAAATTGCGACCCACAATTGAAGCCAAATTATTTTGCAGCACGGGTAAAGATAAAAATACCGCTGAGTTGTGTATATCGGGTGTTGAATCGAACTTTGTTATGAATGGTCTCGAGTTTGATGAAATTTTATGTTCGAATATTCTTTGTAAATCAAAGTTTCATAAAAAGCTTAGTCTATCGTACGTCAGTACGCGAGAGTAGTCTATACGTACGTGAGTACGCGAGAGCTGCCAGCACTTGGGCTTCCATATAAATAATTGTTAGAATTAGGTATATATCGCCTTGGTAAGAACCTTACCATGACCTATCGGCTGCTTCTAACACCGTGCTTTCTGAGCTTCCGAGTTCGCTGAACAAAGCATGTACGTGCCTCAGTTCCGCCCAATCCTGCAGAACAAGGACCAGGCTGGACAGCTGTGAAGCATGGACTGTTTTCGTTGGTTCCGTCCGGCACAACTCTGTCCCGTCCGGTCCGGCCCTTGCCTAGATGCCTGGGACACTATGGACGACCAAAAACAGGCTGTCTATATTGTACTCTGTCCCGACCTGATCTGCCCGCCCGGTCCGGTCGGTCATAGTCGGTGGTCCATTCCTTGTCCTGACCGTGTCTGTCCGCAGTTCGGTGCTGGTCCTATACCAGCCGGCATTCCCAACTAGGAACCCTCGTGGGCTACAAGTGGACTATTATCTTAGGCTCGCTCTGGATTCCAGATGGGGCGCCCACATCATGCCTTATTGTCGCAACCAGCCGGCATTCCCAACTAGGACCCTCGTGGGCTACAAGCGGACTATTATTTAGGCTCGACCTGGGTTCCAAATGGGGCGCCCACATCATGCCTTATTTTCGCATGGACCAGGAATGTCCGTCCCTTGAATAATCCCATCGGACTTTATCACGTCAGGAAGAAATAACTCAGACCGAAGGAATGTTTGCTTCGATGGGATCCGTATGGGCTAATTGTGGGCAAACTGGGCTCATGTGAACATAGGCTGTAGATGGCCGTTGGTGAGCCAAATTGGACGTTCGGGAGGGGGGGGGGGGGGGGCAATGGCTCAACCGAAAGAATACAAACCGAGGCCCGTGCCCCCAGCCCATCAGCGAAAACGCCATAGAGAACCATTTTCAGAATACTGAAATGCCGAACCGTGGCTCATAGGTAACAACCGACGTACGCGCCGTGCATTGACTGCGCTACGACGAACAAAATTTATTGCGGACATAATTACAGCGAAATACGCCATATTACACATGCATGGTCGTGCATGCCGATTCGGAATGACTGCTGCACCATCGGGCCTGTCGGCAAAAGAAAACCGTCACCAGTAGCGAGATTTGGCGGCTTTTGGTCACCACTATTGCAACAATTTCACCTCATTCAGGAAGTCGTAACCATTGCGCAGTGGCCCTGCCCTGCCGCATGATCACACGCAGTCGCTCTGTCCTACCCCTGACCACACACAGTCGCCCTGCCTTACCCATGATTACACACAGTCGCCTTGCCCTATCCCTGATAACGGACAGTCGCCCTGCCCTGGCCCTGACCGCACGCAGTCGCCCCACCCTACTACCCCTAACCACACACATTGGCCCTGCCCTACCCCTAATGATGGAAATGGCGGGCGTTTACGGAACCCGAAAGAAAAAAATGTGACACTGCGGAGGAGTGGGATGACAAGACCCTAGGAGAATGACACTACGTGCGAAAATCACAAATACACTGCTGACAGACTCCACAGTTGATCCAGGAGTACGTTTTTCGCTCAAATGGAAGGAGAAAACCTGACTGTTGCAGAGAAGAAGAAAGTCAGCATCGACTTGGTCAGAGCCGAGGGATTTCACAAGTACCAGGATTCCTAGTTTAGTTGTTTCCAGTCGGAATTACGGGTGTGCTTTAATTTGTGTTGAAGATGACATTCTAAGAAAATGAATAGTTTTTTTTTTTGCTGGTGAATTAGGCGCCTGTCGGGGATTTATGGTGCCGAAAATATCTACGTTTACTACATGTTTTTTTGGAAAACATTAACGATTCATACTGGAGTCAAAACAAATTGTGTTTAGGGCCAACGGGCAACTACTTTCGCAAGTCAGGTCCAGGATTCATTGTACCCATGGCATGGCAAACAAACCACACAAAAAAGCCTTCAACTTGTTGAGTTGCCTGAACATTATCCAAATTACTTTAGTGTATAAATAGTGTGGCCTTAATTTACCTCGTGACCGAGCCAAAAACTAAATATTCTAAACCTTGTCGATCGAATGGCTACTTCGATAATTGTTTCAATATTTTGGTTTGTGGAAAATGCTATGCTTATCAGCATTTGCAATGTAATTAACACCGTTTACAAAATACGAATTGCATTATGCTGGACTTCGGATTATTTATTCCAAATCTGTGAACATTTTAAGACAATGCAGAATTTCCCCGGGTGCTACTTATGCGATTCCGGGAACTACGCCGGCCGTTTCTGCAAATTTAGATCGTAGCACTATTCTACGACCCGGTGTGTTCCGATTTAAGGGCAGACTGTAATGAGACGCCAAGTGTTTCACCACATCTTCTCTGTATTTTAGTCTCGCACCGCAGCAGCCCCTGACGGTGCACCTACCCTCGCTGCTCTCCCAACGGCGACTCCCCACAGCGGGGGCCGCGAGCCGGGACCGTGCGAACGAGCCGGGGCCGCGCGAACTGCGGCGGCGGCGCGCATCTGCCGCGCAGCCGGGGCCGGCCTGCGAACCTGACCACGCGCCGCGCCCCGCCCCAGCAGGGGCGCAGGACACAGTGCAACTGCACTACGAACACAGACCAAAGAATAATAAATGCTGCTCCCTTTTCCCGAGGGATCAGCAAATGTGCGGTGTTCCAGTCTTAAGAAATACGTTGATAGTAGCGCACCGATCTCGTTCAGCCTGTTTTATCTGTTTACAGAGGTTCCTGACGATACTCCTTGGGACGGCCGAAACCTCGGCTCAAAAGTTTGCGATGCCACAGAAAGCTCCTCGTGCTTGCTCGTTGGCCGTGCCGCGAGTCGTCTGGCTATGGACGCATGGCGTCTCTTTCTCTGTGATGATGCGATGCACCTTTTCGTGGGCACGGGATATCTCCTCACTGATACTGGTCCAGCACGCCTCAACATCAGTACTGCCACAGGACGCCTCCTCCTCACCGGTACTGCCGCATGGCACTTGCTCACTGATACTGCTTCAAGACGCCTCCACCTCACCGATGCAGCGATAGACGCCCTCTCCCCACCGATGCAGCCATAGACGCATCCTCCTCACCGGTGCTGCCACGGGACGCCTCCTCCTCGTCGATGCTGCCACAGTACGCCACCTCGCCGATGTCGTCACAGGACGCTACCTCACCGATGTGGCATTGCAGGAAGTCTTTGACAGAAATAAACAACAGCAAACAGTGTGTTGAAAGCTCCGATGTGCAAGCCACACTGGAGCCTGCACGTGCGTATCACAGGAGATCTCCTGCACCTCGGCAGGGCGCACCGAAACGAGCCAGGCCAGCTCACGAGAGGATCAACAGCTTCGCCGGGAAGCATCGCGTACTTCCGTCCTCCAAACAGATGCAGGAATGGATGCGTCGATCATATTTCGACCGAACAGCGCAGGGTGAACAACGACCAGGTGCGCTAACTGGACGTAGTCACGAGGCGTTAGCGGCACCACACGCGTATTCAGCCGAAGGCAGTGCAGTGAGTCGTCCGGAGCACCGTGGAAAAGCGGACCCAAGGCGACCCAGGTCCTTCTTGTGGACTGTTCCGGGACGACCAAAGCCACTGGAAGCTTGCCTCGGATTCTATCTGAGGACATTCGGATTCCCCCAAAACAACACCGAGCTCATCGTCTCAGCTGTACCAGCGGGAAAACCCGTGCCGTAGCGGATGGACGCGGACACAGAGCGCCCACAGGCAAACTCGACTCGGACAAGATATGGGAATACATACTCAACTTCTACACCATGAAGGATCATTACCGATACGAACACACTCCAGACAGAGTGTGCTGATATTATGGCGTTACCGTGAACACTGTGTACCAACACTTCATGGAAACGGGAGAGACGTGCTCCTGTGGAAATTACAAAATATTGCACATGAAATGAACATCTCATTCACTCAGCTGTCGGGGGAAGAGTGCTCAAAATGCTCCTTACATCTGCGCCACCTGAGAGAAAGTCATGGCATGAATAAAAAACCCATCGGCGCAAGCCGAAGAATGCTCTCTGTGCAGTGCACACGACCGGCACATGGATACGCACGGGAGGCGAAGTAACAATACTGACAAGATGCAGACAGGGAATGATCGGCTGAGAAACTGGTGGTATCTCCCGATATCACGAAAGGCAACGTTATACCCATTTTATCTCAGGAAGGCTTAAGGAGGCTTTTGAAATTAGGGCTTACTTGGACACACTAGGAAGTATTCAGCGTCATAATGACATCGAACAGGGGCAGGTCGGTCAATCAGGAAACAGCAGCAAAGACAGAAAGGCCTGTGTCCTGCGGCACGAGGCGTTTGCTAGTCGCAGTACCGAGGAAGTGGCAGCGGCATACGTTCTATATTTGAAGTCGATGTGCCGCGATATAGCCCACTTCGTCATGTGGGCGGACAATTGTTCTATCCAGAATAAGTGCCGGGCATCGCTGAGCGCCTTCTGAAAGCTGTTCACTCGGAGAAGACCACCACAAGACGCATTACGCTCAAATGTCTTTAAACAGGTCATACAGTCCGCTGATGCTGTTCACCGAATAGTGTCAAAAAAAACAGCATGCGGAATAAGGACGGGAACGACTTCGGCGACTTCGTCGGAGCGTCAGAGGCAACAGGCACAAAGGTCATCGGGATTAGGCCAGGGGTCAATATGGCCCAAGTGGAAGATGGCACCAGCCGACAACGCCCGAGCGTGCTGCCAAACGAGGGGGAACGACCGCACTTGGCAAGCTTCAATGTGGTGCAGTTCCGCTGTGGTTCCCCCCCCCCCCCCCACCCAAAAAAACAAAACACCAAGACCACACTGAATCAGAAGATATGGACTGCCTACAGATTGACGAATGCTTCTTCTCGGCTACGGAACCGCTGACGCCAAAGACTGGGGAAGCAGGTATGAGGAAGAACAAGATTGAAGCTATTTGCAAAACGCTTGCTCCCCATCCATCTGAGTACAAACGTGCTCCCTGGGAAAGCTTGAGGCAGCAGCCCACCAGCTCAAAGAAGAGGTCAGCAGATCAACAGGCATCGCGCAGTGCTATGGAGCGGAGTCATTGGAGTCAATCAGCGCCAACTCACTGATGATGTGGCATCCCAGTCATCTACTCTGATTATATGAACCGTCAATTGATTTCCCGTTCTACTAGTGTTATCGTGTAGATCCGGTTGGCTGTCTTATTGACGGAGTTGGCTCATTTGTCGTCACATCGTTAAGTGACAGGGTCTGCAACCGCGTGGCAGCAAATGGTTCATAGTTCGTTTCATAGAACATTCGCCTCTTTGAAACACGTCGAATTTTCGTCATCGAAGCGTTTTTGGACATTTCCTCTGTACTGTGCAGGGCCCAAAATAGCTCCTGTTTGATCACAGTTGGGTTATCACGTGCGTGCAAATGCGCGCGAATATTACGTTAGTGCATGCATAAATAAATGTGCATTCCATCAGAGGTATTTTCCAAAAGTATCTTTCACGTCTATAGGATGCTTAAAGCTCGTTACGAACGTGTCAAGGCGAACATCAGGGATGTACAGTAGAAAGAACAGTTTTTGACGTGTTGCAAGAAGATCGTGATTTTTATCCTTGCTTCTTTTGTCATGAACATGCATGTAGTTTTTCACACCGAGTCAACATGGTGAGTTTTGCCATTGTATCGCAGGAAGAATCGCACTTAGCTAAGCCCAATTTGTTTTTTTTTAGAAACCCATGTGCGTGCCATATTTCAATTCCACATAGCCTAACCGGCCATCAGCAGACAATTCCGCTCATATTTGTTCCGTAATAATCGGGAGCTTACCAAGATAGCCGGAGGCGAAAACGGAAAAACCGCTTTCCTGTAAAATTTTACTCGGTGCGAAAACGCAACATACCCGGTTTTACCTTTGTACGGCAGAAGCGGTGTGTCTGCACTAAATGAGGCGAGATACACACCAATTTGCCACGCAGCGGAATGATATTAGTCACCCCAAAAATTCCTACCATATCTGCCCTGTCCGTCGAATTTTCCAGTTGAACTTTTGAGTATTTGGAATTGCAACCCGATTCGCAACCAACCGGCATCTCTGGTGTGGACACTCCAATCCCTCAGGAACGTCGTGCCACGACGTTTAAAGGTGTATTTCTTTTTGCAAACCAGTCGAACAAGAACAATTTTAACAAAGTCAGGTTTAATCACATTCAACCATGTTACGTAGAATGCACAATCCTAGAATATCCGGCATGTGCCGATATGGACAAACCCATGAAAAAACACCCATGGCGCAGGTATAAAAAATATGCACATGAGGATGCCATCGCAGCGGAGCGATGCTCAAGACTGCCTCGAAAAACTGCTACAGAAGACGTCATTAATCCACCCGCGGCGGTCCACATAGTAAAGCAAGCAGAAGGCAAACTGTCACACCGTCACACATCAGTAGCTGCACACAGCACCCAGTGACGGCGACACGCTGACCGCCGAGGGCCCAGCAGCACCGGCGCGAGAGTGGTGGGCGCCGCCCAGCGCCGAGAGCCCAGCAGTAGCGGCGCGGGAGTGGTGGGCGCCGCCCAGCCCCGGGGGCCCAGCAGCAGCGGCGCGGGAGTGGTGGGCGCCGCCCAGCGCTGAGGGCCCAGCAGCAGCGGCGCGGGAGCGGCGCGGGAGCGGTGGGTGCCGCCCAGCGCCGAGAGCCCAGCAGCAGCGGTGCAGGAGCGGTGGGTGTCGCCCAGCGCCGAGTGCCCAGCAGCAGCGGCGCGAGAGTGGTGAGCGCCGCCGCTCACAGAGCCGTGATGATGACAGACTTCCGCTTCGGTTTACGGCCGTCGGCGCCGGCCGGGTCCGGCGGCCGGTCCGTCTGGCCGTCCGCGGCGCCGGCGCCCGCCTCCGCCGCCGGCCGAGGGCCGCGCCGCGCCGCCGGGCCGTCCGTGGCGCCGGCAGGCCGCTCGCCGACTAGCCGTGGCTTGGGCGCCACCCTGGGCGGCGGCGGTGGGCCGCTGACCGCCAGCCGGCGCGGTGGACCGCCGGCCGCCGGCGCCACCACGCTTGGCTTGGGCGGCACGCTCGGCTTGGGTGCGCCACGGCCCGACTCGGGCGGTCGTGGCGGCGGCGGCGGCAGCTGGATGCCCGCGCGGCCAGCCGAGCTGCAGCGGCGCACCATCAGCCGGGGGCTCCATGCCGGGCTGGCGTTGGCCGAGCGCCACGGGCCGCTGCCGCCGGCCGGCTGTGCGGCGGCCGGAGCCGGCGCGCAGTCGGCCGGCCGGAGCGGCGGCGACTCACGCGGCGCCGCTGACCGGTCCGGTTCTCTGGTGGCAGCCGACCGGTGCGGGGAGCTTGGCCGACGCTCCACGACGCCCCCGTCGCCGTTCTGCGCACCGGCAGAGCTCTCCTGCGGCTGCTGCGGTGGGCCGCTGTCCCGGGTGTCGTCAGAGAGCCTGGATCGGCAGCCGTTCTGAAGCGGCTGCGGCGGCGCTGCGGCCGGCGGCCGATACTGCGGCGAGGAGCGCTGGCCGCCAGCTGAGCCGCCCTGCCCGGCGGCCGGGGGCACCCGCGAGCCGTTGACGGCCGGCGCGTCAGACAGCGCCGCGGCAGGGCTGCCAAAGCCATTAGAAGCCAATGGAGCGGGCGGCACCTGTGGCGGCGGGTGCTGGCCGGCCGGCTGGAGCGGCGCCGAGGACAGGGCGTGCTCAGGCCGCTCGGTCGTGCTCGACGGCTTGGGGCCGGCCTGCGGCGACGGCGCCCTCCACTGGCGCCCGTCCGCGCCCGCTGGCGCCCGAGCCCACGGCGTCGGCTCCGACGCGGCCGGCTCGGCGTCGGCGCTCGACCGGGCGCGCGCGCCGCCGGCGGCCCGGCGCCGGTGCCGCGAGCGCCGCTGCCGGCGCCGCAGGCCGCCGTCCGAGCGACTCTTGGGCATGGCCGAGCTGATACAGCGCTCCAGCAGCATGTCGTCCGTCTCGCTGTCGCCGTCGCTCGAGGGCATGCTGAGCGAGCTGAGGGAGCTGGTGCGGGAGGGAGAGGCGTCCGGCGCCGCGCCGTCCGGCCGCTGCCAGTCGGCCGCCGCCGGGCGGTCCTCTGGCGACGCAGGAGTGGCTCGGGTCAGTCATCACCGCCGGCACGGACGCCACCAGCCACCAACAGACAAGCAGCTATCGTCAGGCTACTGCTGTCCGCTCGAGCCAGCCAGCCAGTCATCAAAACATACAGGCGTCGTCGGACGATTGTAGCTGCATGGACGCCGACTCAGGATGCATTGCGACTGACAGCAGCGCCGCGCCGCCACCGTACCGCCAGAGTTCACTTAAAACAAACAGCAGGGCGCTGCCAACCGCTGACGGGAGAGTGTGACGCGAACGTAACGCGGGGGTCTCCCTTCAGCAGCTGTCGCCCGCGGCAGCTGCTGAGGGAAGACCCCGGCGGTGAGTAACCCGTGCCCAGCCTCACGGGCTGAGGGGAACACCCCGGCGGTGAGCGGCCCGTGCCGTGTCTCACCGGGATGAGGGGGGATCCCGGAGGTGAGCGGCCCATGCCGAGTCTCACCGGGTTGAGGGAACACCCCGGAGGTGAGCGGCCCGCACCGAGTCTCACCGGGCTGAGGGAACACCCGGCGGTGAGTAGCCGTGCCAGCCGCCTCACCGGGCTGAGGGGAGACCCCGGCGGTGAGCGGTCCGTGCCGAGTCTCACCGGGCTGAGGGGAGACCGGGAGGTGAGCGGCCCGCACCGAGTCTCACCGGGCTGAGGAAGACCCCGGCGGTGAGTAGCCCGTGCCCAGCCTCACCGGGCTGGGGGAAGACCCCGGCGGTGAGCGGTCCGTGCCGAGTCTCACCGGGCTGAGGGGAGACCCGGGAGGTGAGCGGCCCGCACCGAGTCTTCACCGGGCTGAGGGAAGACCCCCGGCGGTGAGTAGCCCGGTGGCACAGCCTCACCGTGCTGAGGAAACATCCCGAGATGAAGCGGGCCCGCACCGAGTCCTCACCGGGCTGAGGAACACCCCGGAAGGTGAGGTGGCCCGTGCCGTGTCTCACCGGGCTGAGGGAACACCCCGGCGGTGAGTAGCCCGTGCCCAGCCTCACCGGGCTGAGGGAACACCCCGGAGATGAGCGGCCCGCACCGAGTCTCACCGGGCTGAGGGAACACCTCGGAGGTGAGTGGCCCGCACCGAGTCTCACCGGGCTGAGGGAACACCCCGGAGGTGAGTGGCCCGTGCCGAGTCTCACCGGGCGGCTGGACGGCAGAACACGATGTCGCTGAGACTGTCGGCCCGCGAGGAAGACGCCGGGCGTGCCCCTCGGTGGCGTACACGGTGGGCACCTCGGGCGGCGGCGGCCGGTGCGCCGCCTGTGCGGGGCCCAGCTGCGGCTCCGGCTCCGGTTCGCCCAGGTCGTCCATGGTCAGATCCGACAAGCTGGTAGCCGTCGAGAAGTTGATGGGCGTGCCCTCGACGGCGTACTGGCGCGGCCGCTCGACGGCCGGCGGCGGCAGCGGCGGGACAGCACGGCCCGGGGGCCCGGCCTCGGCCGCGGCGGCCGCCGCCGCCTGTCGTTCCGAGTACCTGCCGCGCCACAGGCTGCCGTCAGCGACCACCGCTCCACCCGGTCCTCCGACGACGCTTCCAGTGAATTTGTCCCACGCGGCACCGAACTGCGACACGGCGCGCGTCCGACGAGGCGCGTGGCTCACCTGTGGTACTGCTTGACGCTCCAGCTGGTCTGTGCGTGAGCTCCTGACCAGGCGGCACGCACACGGCGCGGCGGCGAGCCGGGCGGCCGGGGCCCGCCGCCCTCCTGCCAAACACAGCCGCCGGCATGCGTCACACTCGGCACGAGGCACCGGCGGCATGGACGGCAGCAGGCCAGGGAGGGCCCGGCGACTGATCGTGAGGCCAGCCCACCCACTGATCGAAGATACCATCGGCCACCTCTCCCCCTCCCCCCCCCCCCCCCCCACACACTATCTGACACAAGCAGCATCAAATCATTCCGAGTCCACACTCAGTTGTTCATGAGCGCGTCAGGCGCGACACGTTGTCGGCACGGCGGTCGCGAGGGACCAGGACACAGCCTGCACGAGTAAACGCAGCAGGCCCACTCGTGCCCGCCCCCGGCAGGTCCACCTCTCAGCGCATGCTCACACCTGGCGCCGCGCCGCGCGACCGGGCCGGGCGCGACGGCCGCCACTCGCGGCCCACCTTGTTCATGGTTTGCTGGATCATCTGCTCGAGCAGGTGATTGTCGTCGGCGGACGAGTTGCCCGAGTTGGACTCGTCCCGTTCGATGAGCGGCGGCGGCGGCCGGCGGCGCCACCAGTCGGACGTCTCGCCGGCGGCGGCGGCGCGGCCGCGCGGCGACACGCGCGCGTAGATCAGGCGAGACGGGCCGCCCGGGGACCGGGAGACGCCCTGGACGGCACGGCGGCGGTCAGGACGCTGCCAGCGCGCCGGCCACAGAGCGGCCACATCGGCCGCGGTCCACACACATCAGTAGGAGTGTCAGCCGCAGTGATGGCCGCCGTGGCCCAGTCAGTACATCGATGTCACTCCATGCCACACGACAGGCAAAAGATTAGTGACCTAAACTAGCCGGAACCAGTAGTCATCTGACCGCGGCGTTTTCACATGCCCATGGGAGGCGCTCCCCTCCAAGTATGATTTTTAGCTGCGCTCTCTCCAATTCCATCGCGCGAGCAGCTACAAACCACATTAAGACATTTCCCGTGTCCACAATTGCTGATACCATGCCTCTCCTTGCGCAGCGGACTCTCGCACCAAGACACTGCAGACCGCTGTACGCAACAAGGCCTGGAAACAGTAGCCAGGATCAAAGCCCACATATAACCACTGCGACAAGCGGCTGACGACCGGGCGCGCTGTGCCGGCCGGCATCTCCCGGTGAGTGCTGACCTTGCCGGCGCCTGAGCAGGAGGCGGCCTTCCTGCCGGGCTGGCCCAGCTGCCGGCCGCTGGAGGAGCGGCGGCCCGGCGGCGGCGGCGGCGGCGGCGGCGCGCGGCCGCCCACTCGGCCACTGGTGGACCTCCTGCGACGAAGGCAACCGTCAGCGCACGGCGGCGGCGCCACCGGACGGCCGCGCGTCCTTCGCACACTATCGCCCACGTGCGCGCATGCGCAAGCCCACTCACACATTCGGATGTGGAGACCGACCGGCCGGGGCGGGCTGACCGCAATGGTTCGCTGCTAAGCCGGGACCAAACGGCTCAGACTTGCACACAGAACACTGCAGCGGCCGGATTCACGACAAAACAAGAGGAACACGACCGTGCCCCAACACAGAATCCTGGCGGCAGCAACGAACGTCGCTGGCCGTACCCCCCCCCCCCCCTCCCCACTGCATGCGTTTGCGCGGCATGAGTACCCATAGAGCTCCATACGAGGCAGTCTTCAGATGAGCCCCCTTCACGCGGTGTCCACCGGCCACGAGCGCCCACAGCGCCGCACCCGAATCCGACCCCCTCAATACGACCCTCCCGACAGTGCCAGCTCTGGCGACCCCCTCGGCACGTCGGCGCGCGTCTGCGGCGTCGCACCGGCTCGGCATGGCCGACTTGATGCAGGCGTAGATCATGTCGTCGTCGTCGCCGTCGCTGGCCGAGCCGCTCTCGGAGGGCGGGCGGCCGTCGGCCGAGCGGCGGCGCGCCGCCTCCTCGCCCGGCCGCTGGTGGGGCTCGTCCGGCGCCGGCACCGGCTCGTCCAGCGTCAGCGAGCTGAGGCTGGTGGCGCGCGAGAACTCGAGCGGCGTGCCCTCCTGGTGGAACTGGCGCGGCTCCTCGGCGAACACGTCCGAGGGAGCGGCTGGCGGCGGGCCACACGCGTCATTGATTACCATGTCACAGCTTCAATGTTTTAGAGAGCTGACCTACTGTTTGTCGTGAATTTGTACTTTGGTAGATACACTTAAAACAAATAACGTCTTCAAAAACGCCAGCGCCTTCTTTTCAAGAAACCACGGCCAACGCCTTCTTTTCGAAACACTTTGCGTTCAATTCGGCGAGCAACTCACCCCAGCACGCGACACCAGCCACGTGTCAATGAATGTGCGCATTTGAAGCCAGCATCCGGCCGCTCAGTTAACGGGACGTGGCACACATCTTTCAACGGAACAACGGCACAGAGCTGACCGCCGTTGTTGCAGTGACAGCGGCGACCGTTGACGCGGCAGGCCTGAGCCCACCGGTCGCTGCAGTGAGCGGTTCGACCGTCACCTTTGGGTGACGCCGACTGGGCGGGCTTGGAGCGCGGGTCGGGCTTGGCCGGCTTGCGGTGCGGCTGTGGCGTGCCCGGCATCTGGCTGGGCGAGTCGGGCAGGTCGCTGGGCGAGACGGCGCCGCTGACCTGTCGGCTGAACGGCCGCGGCCGGACGGCGTCAGTCGCCGGCCACCGGCGGCCCGCGGCCGCGGCCGGGCGGCGTCAGTCGCCGGCTCCCGGCAGCCGCGGCCGGGCGGCGTCAGACGCCGGCCACCGGCAGCCGCCGTCACTCTCCGGCGGCAGCGCGGAGCGCGGCGAACGCGTCCTGAACGGGGAGACCGGCATGTGCCGTCTCCGGGGTCCACATGGATATTATCGCTACCTTACGTGGCCGCGAGGCACGTCATCACCTACCTTTATTTTCGAAACATGGTTCTTTGATTCAGCAAACTGTCGCATAAAATTCAGAATTCGCCATCTTCAAGAGCGCATGACCTCGGAGTCAGTCGACCACAGATCGGCACGCGACGTTACCAGCGTGGCTCACCTGTACTCGCTGGCCACGGAGCCCTGCTCGCCGGCGACGTTGGCGCCGTCCAGGCTGCTTAGCGAGCCGACCGAGCTCGAGCGCGAGAAGATGAGCGGCGTTTCGAGCGCCGAGGCGGACGCGGAGGCGGCCGGCCGCGCCGCACACCGCTCGGCCGGCAGCGGCGGCGCCGACTCGCGCAGGTCCAGCAGCGACGGCGCCGAGCTGAAGTTGTACGGCGTGCCCGCCTGGCGCGGCGTGCCCTCGGTGGCGTACGTGTGCACCATGTCCTCGTCGAGCGGCCGGCTGTCGGCCGGGCATGCCGCCGCCGCCCGGTGGGGCCCGGCTGCCGGTGGTGGTGGCGGCGGCGGCATGAGCACCGACGCCGGCGGACCCGACGGCGACTGCGACAGCTGCTGCGGCGGCGGGGGTGGCGGCGGCGGTGGAGGGGGCGGTGGCGGCGGAGGGGGCGGTGGCGGCGGCGCCGGCTTCTTGAACACGGCCGTGTCCTCCTCGCGGCCCTCGGCGTAGCGGGCGCTGAAGTCCGTCAGATGGTCGCTCTCGTCCTCGTGCGAGGACGTGCTGAGCGGCTGCGCCGAGCCGGGCCGCCCAGCAGCCAGCTCGCGCGGCAGCGAGCCGGCGCGGTGGCGGCGCGCCCAGCGGCCGCCGTCGCCGTCAGGCGCCAGCAGCAGGCGGCGCAGCTCCGGCTCGGATACGCCCAGCCGCTGCGCCACCTCGCGCAGCACGGCGGCCAGCCGGACCCGCTCGGCGCCGGCCGGGTGGGACCAGCGGCCGCGCTCGCCGCCGGGGTCGGACGGCGCGCTGCGCACCGACTCGCGGCTGGCGGCCAGCGGCGGCCCGACGGCCGGCTCGGGCTCGCCGCGCCGCGGGCAGCCGGCCGTCTCGTCCGGCCTCGCCGCCAGCAGGTTCTGCAGGGCGGCGCCGCTGCCGCTGGCGATCATCTGATGCGGGCTGTGCACGAGCGCACGCAGCCGCGGCACGGCACCCAGCCGCCAGAGGGCGCGCTGGTCGAGCGTGCAGCGCGCCGACAGGTTCCAGAGCGTACCGCAGGCGTTGCTGACCACGGTGAGGCTGGGCGAGTTCAGGTGCTGCAGCAGGGTGGCAATGCAGCCGTGCTGACGCAGCACCTGCCTGGTGACAGAGCACACGGCCGGCGCCGGTCAGCTGGCTACCAAACGGCAATCGTGCAGGGGTGGAGGAGTAACAGAAATATCGGGCTTAAGTGGAGAGCGGGTGCTCTCTAAGGGCCTTGCCAGCAGCAACTACGTGACGGCTGTTGCAGATTTTCATCAGCGACGCACGCAAAAACAGTTGTTGGTAAATACAGGCGAAGCATTGAGACCATACCCACTCAGATGACTCCCACACATGGTGTCACATGGTCCTGCCACTTCACCCCAGGCAATCAAACTGCCCTCAAGTAAGCCCCAATCCTGAGCCGTCATCCACCAGCACAATTCAAGCACCGACTGTCCGGTCTGTTTTAGACCATTGCAACCATGCCAACGTAGATAGCGTGCTCGCAGCGTGGAAGCAATCACAGCATGTGATTTCGCAGGAGTTGGTACTTTTCACCATTGTTATATATTCGGTCTATATAAAAATCTTCGCTGCCTCAGCGAATAAAAGTCGGCACCAAATGTTCTTTTGCAAGCCAACAACAGGTAAAATGTTCAAAATCACAGACATTAGAAACTGAAAACACACATATAACACAAATGTAGTGCCTTGGCAGCCTGGTCAAGGAATTAAAAACATCTGCGCACACCCTCCCGACACAAGCCAACTTTGATTTAAAAACAATGTTGACACACACACAGCACCTGGAATTGTATCAGAATTCACTTGCGCACTACGCACCTGTAGTCCTCACGAACGGCAATATGACTAGAGATGTTCCTGAGAATGCCGCCACCGTTCTCCACGATGGCAAGCGTTTTGGATGGCGACTCGTAGTTGAGCGTTTTGACGATGAAAGACAGCGCGTTCTCCTCAGCACAAATGTCCGCCTGCAATGATGACATACGACTCTGAAGACTGCACCAGACACACAAGGAGCAGATAGTGCAGCAAAACAGACCTACTGAAACACCTTCCTCACAACACAGAGCATCAAAATCTGGCCATAGAGAAGTGACCCACACTCCCAACATGGATGAAGCATCTCAAGCAGATTCATTCTTACTTACTGCGAGTTCCCAATACCATGATTTCCACGCCGTCCTTGACCAGACAAAACTTCCCAGTTCCACTGCTCCTGCCGCCCATCATCACGCTACGTGATTGCAAGCATCCTAGCCATTGAGTCCTCGTTTTCTCTGCCCTCCATCTTCGCCTATCTCGTGCAGACGCCGCCGCAGAGGGCAGTGGCCGGCACCGGCACAGGGCAGTTCAGCCGCACCCCACCGCGGGTCGCGGCCGGCCGCGGGCGCCAGCTGCCGGCCGGCCGCCGCTCCAGCCGCACCCCAACGCGGGCCGCGGCCGGCCGGGGTGCCAGCTGCCGGCCCGCCGCCGCCGGCCGCCAGCTCACCTTGTTGAGGGCGCAGTGGGCAGAGAGGTTCCAGAGCGCAGACAGCACCGGCTTGAGGGCCGGCTCGCGGCGCGTGGCGAGCGCGGCGCGCGTCAGCGCAGTCACGGCGCCCGCCTCACGCAGCGCCTGCTTGCTGGCCGAGTCGGCGCGCCACGACAGGTTACGCAGCACGCTGGCGGTCACCTGTCCCGGCAGCCACACGTGGCACGGTCAGGGACATGGCTGCACGGTCGTGGACACGGCCGCATGGTCAGGGACACGGCCGCACGGTCAGAGACACGGTCGCACGGTCAAGGACACGGCTGCGCGGCCAGGGGCACGGCTGCATGGTCAGAGACACGGTCGCACGGTCAGGGACACGGCTGCGCGATCAGGGACACGGCTGCACGGTGAGGGACACGGCCGCACGGTCAGGAACACGGCTGCACGGTCAGGGGCACGGCTGCACCATCGTGGACACGGCGGCACGGTCGGACACGGCTGCACGGTCAGGGACACAGCCGCACGGTCATGGACACGGCTGCACGGTCAGGGGTACGGTCGCACGGTCAGGGACACGGCTGCACGGTCGGGGACACGGCCGCACGGTCAAGGACACGGCCGCACGGTCAGGGACACGGCCGCACAGTCAGGGACACGGCCGCACGGTCACGGACACGGCGACACGGTCGGAGACACGGCTGCACGGTCGGGGACACGGCTTCGCGGTCAGAGACACGGCTGCACGGTCGCAGACACGGCGGCACGGTCAGGGACACGGCTGCACGGTCGAGGACACGGCTTCACGGTCAGAGACACGGCTGCACGGTCGCGAACACGGCGGCACGCTCGGAGACACGGCTGCACGACCAGGGGCACGGCTGCACCATCGTGGACACGGCGGCACGGTCAGACACGGCGGCACGGTCAGGGACACAGCCGCACGGTCAGGGACACGGCTGCATGGTTAGGGACACGGGTGCGCGGTCACAGACACGGCGCACGGTCAGAGAAACGGCTTCACGGTCAGGGACACGGCTGCACGATCAGGGACACGGCTGCACGGTCGGGAACACTGCTTCACGGTCAGGGACACGGCTGCACGATCAGAGACACGGCTGCACGGTCGGGGACACGGCGGCACGGTCGGGGACACGGCTTCACGGTCAGGGACACGGCTGCACGATCAGGGACACGGCTGCACGGTCGGGGACACGGCGGCACGGTCAGGGACACGGCAGCAAGGTCGGAGACACGGTCGCACGGTCAGGGGCACAGCTGCACGGTCGGGGACACGGTCTCACGGTCTGGGACATGGCGGCACTGTCGGGGACACGGCTGCATGGTCAGGGACACGGCTACACGGTCAGGGACACGGCAGCACGGTCAGGGACACGGTCGCATGGCCAGGGACACGGCTGCACGGTCAGACACGGCTGCATGGTCGGGGACATGGCCGCACGGTCGGGGATACGGTCGCACGGTCAGGGACACGGCTGCACGGTCGGGGACACGGCGACACGGCGACACGGACGCGGCAGGGAGTGTCTCACCTGCACAAGCTCCTCGCTGGGTGAGTGAAGCTGCGTGACGAGAGCGCGCATGAAGGCGCGCTGGCCGCACAGCAACGCCTTGCTCGTGCCGTCGCCGAACGTCAGGTTGGTGAGCGCCATGCTGGCGAACCTGCCGCCCGCCGGCCAGTCGTCAGACGCGGCGCCCGCCGGCCGGTCGTCAGAAGCGGCGCCCGCCGACCGGTCGTCAGACGCGGCGCCCGCCGGCCAGTCGTCGGACGCGGCGCCCGCCGGCCAGTCGTCAGACGCGGCGCCCGCCGGCCGGTCGTGGTCGTCAGACGGCGGCGCCCGCCGGGCCGGTCGTCAGACGCGGCGCCCCGCCGGCCAGTCGTCGGACGCGGGCGCCCGACCGGCAGTCGTCACGACGCGGCGCCCGCCGGCCGTCATCAGAAGCGGCGCCCGCCGGCTAGTCGTCAGACGCGGCGCCCGCCGGCCAGTCGTCAGACGCGACGCCCGCCGGCCGGTCGTCAGACGCGGCGCCCGCCGGCTTAGTCGTCAGACGCGGCGGCCCGCCGGCCAGTCGTCAGACGCGGCGCCCGCCGGCCAGTCGTCAGACGCGGCGCCCGCCGGCCGGTCGTGGTCGTCAGGACGCGGCGCCCGCCGGCCGGTCGTCAGACGCGGCGCCCGCCGGCCAGTCGTCGGACGCGGCGCCCGCCGGCCGGTCGTCAGACGCGGCGCCCGCTGGTCAGTCGTCGGACGCGGCCGCCCGCCGGCCGGTCGTCAGACGCGGCGCCCGCCGGCCAGTCGTCAGACGCGGTGCCCGCCGGCCGGTCGTCAGACGCGGCGCCCGCCGGCCGGTCGTCAGACGCGGCGCCCGCCGGCCGGTCGTCAGACGCGGTGCCCGCCGGCGGTCGTCAGGCGCGGCGCCCGCCGGCCGTGACCCAGCGGACGCGCGGCCCCAGTGATCGTCCATGCCACGACACAGCGCTAAAGCTCATACACGGTTTACACGTCCGCACGCATTCACACAGGCCAACACAGCACAATACAACGCCCCAGGAGCCTGGGCCGCGGGGTTGCCTCAGGCCGCCCTTGCCCCCACCACTTACACTCGGCGCAGTGTCGAGCACAGCCCACAATTGGCCCGCCATTGCTGAGCCGGCGCCTGACCTGCGCGTGTTATCCCCACCCGTGGACAATGTCATGCCTGAGCCGGGTGTGTGGCCCGGGGCCGGGGGCTGACCTGCCGGTGGTGCCGCCGGCCGGGTGAGTGTCAGGCCCGGGGCTGGCGGCTGACCTGCGGGTGGTGCCGCCGGCCGGGTGAGTGTCAGGCCCGGGGCTGGCGGCTGACCTGCGGGTGGTGCCGCCGGCCGGGTGAGTGTCAGGCCCGGGGCTGGGGGCTGCCCTGCGGGTGGTGCCGCCGGCCGGGTGAGTGTGTGGCCCGGGGCTGGCGGCTGACCCACGGGTGGTGCCGCAGGCCGGGTGAGTGTGTGGCCCGGGGCCGGCGGCTGACCTGCGGGTGGTGCCGCAGGCCGGGTGAGTGTGTGGCCCGGGGCCGGCGGCTGACCTGCGGGTGGTGCCGCAGGCCGGGTGAGTGTGAGGCCCGGGGCCGGCGGCTCACCTGCGGGTGGTGTTGCAGGCCGGGTGGCCGGTGGCCGGGCCGTGCGTCTCGTGCTCGGCCTGCACCAGCTCGGCCAGACTGTAGAGGCCGCCCAGCTGGCAGAGCGCGCTCCGCTGCTGCTCGTCGAACGACAGCTTGACCAACTCCACCACCGCCGCCACTGGGTGCTGATGCAGCGAGTCTGCCGGCCAGGGAGGCAGCCGTCCGTGCCGTGCCGCGCAACACTGATATTTGATATAGAGTATTCATCACAACTGCTCTATCTGCACAGTGCTACTGCTTCTGGAGGTTCCCGGTCCAGCACGCATCATCACGCAAGACGCCGCATCCAGCAAGTACCATCACACAGAACGTCCCACCGAGCACATACCATCACACTGGGCGTCCCACCGAGCGCGTGCCATCACACGAGACGTCCCATCGAGCACATACCATCACACTGAACGTCCCACCGAGCACATACCATCACACTGGGCGTCCCACCGAGCGCGTGCCATCACGCAGGACGTCCTACCGAGCGCGTGTCACCACACAGAACGTCCCACCAAGCGCGTGCCATGACGCAGGACGTCCTACCGAGCGTGTGCCATCACACGGGACATCCAACCGGGCACGTGCCATGACGCAGGACGTCCCATCAAGCGCGTGCCATGCCGCAGGACGTCCCACCGGGCACATACCGTCCAGCAGCACCGGCTGGTCCTGTTCGTCGGCGCGCTGCCACAGGCTCTCGGTGAAGTCGCGCAGCTGCTCCAGCAGGCGCAGCAGGCGGGCCTCGCGGCGCGCGCGGCGGCCGTCCGGCTGCGCGCGCACCAGGTTGTGCAGCGCCCGCGCGGCTGCGGCGCGCACCTGGCGACGGCGGCAGCACGGTCAGGGGCGGGGGTGGGGGGTGGCGGCTCGGCACCACCGGCTCTCTGACCGGCGGACACGAGCGACCGGCTTCTGCAGTGTCCACGGCGCCGAGATAAAGCTTGTCTAGCGCGGAGCTGCGTTGGCATGACAACACATTTGGAGCTGTGCACTGAAGCGCAGCAGTACGGAGAGCCAACGCGTATCATACGAGTAGGCCAACTTGACGCTTAAATGGCCACAGAAAATTCAGGAGCATCAGTCCTTTAAAACATCACTTGTTTAACACACATCCAATGTCACTATTAGTCACCGGCACGCTCGTCATTAACAGACGTGATCACCGCGGGTGTTAGTGTCTTGTGTTCCCACCTGTCTGTGTGGCCGGCGGGCGCCAGCGCCGGCGGCCGACTGCGGGCAGTGGATCAGCTGATCCAGGGCCGGCAGGCAGCCGGCGCGCCGCAGCGCCGCGCAGCTCTCCGTGCTGGACGTCATGGTCAGCAGCGTGCTGCTGACCAGCTGGTGGTCGGCCGAGCGCAGCAGCTGCAGCAGCGAGAGCACCAGCTCGGCCCGGCCGCCGCCGCTGGCCGCCAGCTGCTGGCCCAGGAGCCGGCGTCAGCGCCAGCGGGACGCCTCCCTCCCTTCCTCCCGACCCCGGCCACGGTTCGATGATGAAGGCCTGACGCCGCACACGGCGGGGACCCGGGCCCGGCGCCCGACAGCGACGCATCGGAAAGCGACGCTTGCATTTCCACACCAAACTAGAGCTGACATATCGACGGCATCTAGGTACGGCAGCGACCCATGCGCACGTTCTTTCGACATCCCAACATATTGCCACCTCTGCCCTTTCATCTGTATTGCTGGTTTTCCAGCGCCACCTCCGGTGCCGAACAGCTGTTACCTGAGCCGGGCTCGACTGGGAGGAGGTTCTGGAGTCCGGCGGGTCACTGGTCCAGACAGCGCCGGCCGGCTGGCCAGGGCCCGCCGCGCGGTACAGACGGGGGGCGCCGTCACCGCTACCAGAGCTCTGCTCATCCGAGGACGACGACAGCGACTGTCGGAAGCCGAAGATGACGCTTAAGAGCGGTACACAACACCCAGCAGCCGCTGATGACATTCAGCAGCAGCACATGGCACTCAGCAGCCACAGAAGGCACTCAGTGGTGATGGCCTACACTCAGCAGCCGCAGATGGCACTCAGCGGTAATGCCCTACACTCAGCAGCCACAGATGGCACTCAGCAGTGATGCCCTACACTCAGCAGCCACAGATGGCACTCAGCGGTAATGCCCTACACTCAGCAGCCACAGGTGGCACTCAGTGGTAATGCCCTACACTCAGCAGTCACAGATGGCACTCAGCAGTGATGCCCTACACTCAGCAGCCACAGATGGCACTCAGCGATGATGCCCTATACTCAGCAGCCACAGATGGCACTCAGCGGTGATGCCCTACACTCAGCAGCCACAGATGGCACTCCACGGCGGTGTCTAAGCTAATACACACAGTACAGCTCGATAGCACACCCAATTCAATGGCGACAAACACAGCCTCGCAGCCCTACCATACAGAGTACTCAATAGCAGCTTAACAGCGAGCTAAGCATCGGCATGCGGACCAAGGACAGCTCATCCACAGTCAGGCACATCGCTCAAATAAAGGCTCAAACAACGAAAAAAGACCAACATGTCCACACAACTGCACACACGAAACTTAAAACCGATATCATCATACTGTGAAATGAGGAGAGGCAGACCGTACTTATTGGTTAAACACTTACGCCGGAACAGCATATAAAAACCTGATAAATCCAATGGCAACGTTTACGTTTCTGACGGCTACTCACCATGGCATCCACCTGCTGACGAAGTCGCACTATTTCTCGATCGATCTGCTCCAGCCCGGTCTTGGTAGCCGCCTCGGACGCCGGCAGGGCCTGATTGTCGCTGGCACCGCCGTCCTGTCAGAGGGGGCCGGGGTCAGAGTCACGGACTCTCTGAAGGGTGAGGGTGTGGGCACAGCCGGCCGCCCAGTACTCACTCTCAGACTGCCGGCCAGGAGTTTGAGCACGGCAGGAACGTGCGTGCCGACCAGCCCAGTCCGAGAGGCGCCGGACGACAATCGTGTGATAGCGCTCTCCGGCCCAGGCCGGACGACACAGCCGAAGCCAGGCCGCGGCCAGCTCACCTGGCCGGATTCGAGGCGGCGGATCTTCTGCTGCAGAGCCGCCATCTGCTCGTAGAGCCAGCGCTTCTCCTCGTCCTCGGAGAGCGCTGTTCCGGCCATCGCCCTCCTGCGGGCAGGGCCGGAACGCCGCGTCACCAGACGTCGGTCAGCCGGCGGCGCGCCCGGCACGCGACCACCGGCCGCGGCTCCACCCACCACACCGTACCGGGCGTGTCTGATTTTTAAAATATCAAAATCGTTTTGTTCAAATCATCTCTCTCGAATCATGTTGTTTTTGACGAGGTTGTGTGAACGAACGGACGGTTGATAACGTGCAAATGTGGTCACGTTGTTGTCATGTCTTAATATTCCATTCATACTACTGTTGTTATTGTATCAAATCAAACAGTACACCACTCGTTGGAATAATCCGTTAATATAAGGAACTGAACTGAATTGAACTGAACACCAGGCGCCTGCCATGTCCGTTCGGCAGAGAGAGACGCTTGTTTGACAATGGGCGATATCCAGACGGCGGTGACGGAGGCTCTGAGGTCGGATCAGCAGAGCCCGGCTCACAGCCGCACGCCTTATAAGCAAACAAACACGCTAGACGCACAAGCAGGTGGTCAAACTCAATGACAGCCCGCAGCATCGCATGACACGTTTTATAACGTCCTTCTGCGAGGGCAGCTGCCAGGAGAAACAGCCATCCAGACGGTGACGTTTTCACCTAGTTTCGAAGCCAAAGTCATTTTTAAATGCGGTTAAAACTGGTCACCCACCGCGGCCACCTGCAGGCATTAGATCAACAAAGGCCAATCAACCCAACAGCTTCATTCATCAGCTGCCAACATGTAGTCAAGCAAACCACATATTTAGGAAAGCTGGTCATCCTTCTCCTCTGCTCATGGCCTGACAAACTGACAAACAATGTGAATACTGTACCTCTGGTCTTCCAGCCTGGCTATCTTTCTCATGATCGAGTGGCGGAGTGTCCTCTTGTTGCTGCCTGGAGTGTCTCCACAGTCATCTGGCAAGGCAAAAACAACTGCTAGATCTAGCGAATGTGGTTTGCTCTTTAAATGACCTTCAAGCTTTCAGAGCAATCATAAACTGGAATACAATGTTCTGGCCCTCTCTACAACAGCATAATATCCTTCGCACATCAGCAACTTTCCTGAAACATACTGTGAATATTCTGAAGAAAAGCCCATTCATAAAGGCTGCCTGACAAAAACATTTTCAATGTCTGAACTTGATTTGCCAGTAGGGCATCAATACCATGGTATTCCATTAACATAGCACATAACATTAACTTTTGAATTCAAGCATACTTTTGGTAGTCATTGGCATGAAGGTTTCCATGCCTACTGACAGATTGGCAGCCATTAGGATGCAAGTAAAATATACAAGTCAAAATAGAGTAGCACCAAAGCAAGAGCCTTTTGAGCACCAGAAAACAGCAATCTATGGCTCACACCACACACCACTACATCTTACACTGAAGAAAATGCTAGCAAACTGTGTATTGTTCATGTGATGGCATAATATAAATGCTGATGATATCAGCCTCTTTAAAGTGGAGCCTAAGCAGCTAGAACAGATGCAAAGACACGCTTAAAAAGTCATAAGGAAATCCAACAACCATCTGCTGCAACACTGCTTTCCAGACATGTCATCAGCCATGTTCCTAATATTCTGATATAACTATTTGATAGCTGAATAAGTCAGTCAATGGCTGCCTTACTGCACAATATTTAAATTAGACAAATGGCATCACCACTTCATGTATCTGTAACAAGCAATCACAGTAATTCAGCCACACAACAGTCTTCATGGCCACTGCCCAAGTCCTAAATTTGACAACTAACAAAATTGTGGGCTCCAAAAGAAAAAAATGGCATATTTCCTTGACTCCATCTCAAGACTACATACAGTTTTGGCATCACAAACCCCAAGGAGCATTTCCTATTGCCCACAGCTGACACATGTTGAAAGAAATGCATACTAACATGTTTCAGTACACACCATGTTGTGAACATGCAGTAAGTAGGGGTACAGACCTTGTCTGGAGGTGGTAGACTGCTCCAAGGCAGTAGCACTTGTATTGCCCAGTGTCTCTGCTTGCTCAGGCCTGTCTGATGAGTTCATGATGAGCAACAGCAGCAACCATAGGTGAACAAGCAATCTGCAAAAAGATAGCTGTCACTGAACCTATTGTTCCAAAATTGACTTGCTATAGGCTGTGCAGGTGCAGAAAAATTCAGCCTGACAACAATTATATGACATTCAAATGCACTTTTATTTTGCACCAATAGTCAAAAGGAATTTTTGTCTGGAGAAATATTGCAATAGAAGATGAAAATAAGCCATTAAAAAAGGAGAGCCATGGTCTGGTAGCTAGGTGCACAGGATCTCATGAAGGAAGTGAAAATGTGTATCTCTGTGTATCACTGTTAACCATATCCTTATTATCAACTTTAAAACAAAATGTAGTAGCATTTCACATGCATCCATGCTATACAATAGTGCCTACATATACATGAGTACATGATATTCTTCTGCATTCATGTGGTCACCACTTTTAAACTGTAGAATGCCTCACATGTGGTACAGCCAATAATCACATGACAACTGCTTGGGGAATAATTTAAAGAACATTAGTAAGATTTAGAATCTTAGTAGCTGTACATGAAAACTATGTCCAACTATGGAGGATTTCATGTATGATAAAATGAAATGAATGTGATCTCAGGGTGATACAGATCAAATGAGTCAAATATTACAAAATATCCTTGAGAAATGATATCTCAGGGTTTGACAAACACCACATAATTTGTGATCAGCCTGTGATGCATGTCTTGATGATTAACAGTTAACACAGCCATGAGTACATTTTCAAAATGTACAAATATATCAACATAGAAATGTTGACATAGAACATTCTTGACATGGAAACTTGAGCTGGATTTGTAAAAATAAACTGATGGACATCACTGTTCCTGCATCCACAAATAGCCATTGCCATGGCCATTGCAACTTTTGGATAAGAGAGGCAGCCAGCTGCACTTAAACTCTCACCAGACATATGCAATTTTAATGTTATCACTCATAAGTGATTATGGTGATTTATGCCTAACACTAGTCAACTGGAAGACCCACCAACTTTGTTTATTACAGTTGTGCAGACCTAGGATTGCAGTCAGAATTTACCACAGAGGTGAGGCTACCACGATTTGCGACAGAATGGGACGCAAATTTTTACGAGCGAGTTCCAGACCCATCGACAATATCACTCACTACTAACAGACGAACACCCTTCCGTCGCTTATAGGTACAGTACCTAGCGCATCAATGAGCCATCATTGTTGATTTGTCCTGGTGTTTCGATTGTTTCAGCTGCATAACCTGTATATTCACTCGGCTATTCGCTACTCTTGTTCTAAACAACCAGAGCCTTGCTAGACAACGGCCATGGACTCCCTGAAATCAACTGCACCTAGTGCCCTCCTCTGATGATGCAGTTGCAGGAGCGCGTATTTTTGTATCCCAGTCGGATAACTTTTATTAACAAAATACCTCAAGATAAACCTGAGAGTTCTGGCTAGCCGGGATTTACCTGCAGTGCTGCCAGAATGCTACCAACTCGCATAGTGATAAATGCTACTAAATCCGAAGGCATCCAGTATGCATGAATAGTGCTATATAGTTGGTCTTTTTTTAAAACTCTGAGGAATCAAAATTCCAGGTAGGGCGCATATCTGGAGATAGAAAAATGGTGTGATGAATTGCGATGGACTGAAGCAACATCATGCATGGTTGCATTCCCCGTGTGGAGGGGAGGGCAGGTGCGCAGCCAGTGCCTTGGCAATGGGAAGCACAGGGTTGACAAAGGACTACCCGCTGATAGAACTCGCCAAAAAAAATCGCTGGGTACAGTCCGTTTGCATGCATTAACGGTACAAGACAACCTCATCGCACAAAAAATTACTTGCCTCTGCGCTTCAAACATGTTGAATGCAGTTGTTTAACACCCAACGGCAACTCGTACATGAGAGAAGTCACTCGGCACGCGAAGGACCGCTGTCCTGTCGCCGTGCGCACCGCCGGGGGCGCAGGTTCTGGTTGTGCGGGTGGATCGGTCACTGATTCGTGCGTTGAGGTGTGCTTGAAACAAACGGGCAAGATCCGCAGGTTCGCATTGCTTATGGGCTTTGAACACAGCGATAATAGTTCGCAATTCACACATTTGGCGAGGCATTGCAAAGTGCAGGTCATCCCGCGTGAAAGAAACGTCATACTTTCGGAGGCCAGTGAACTACACTGGAACGGAACTTAACTGCTTTCAAAAGTCTGGCCTAGTAACAGCTGACCCCTGGCCATAAACTGAAATACAGCATCTCACGTGCGAGATGACTAGATCCTGCACGGTGGTCAGCAGCACGATCGTGCAGGTCAAGATTGCTGCGTGAGACCGATGTAGGAGAAAACGTTTCAGGCGGCGGAGATCGATCAGGCTGCCGATGCATTTTTTCAAACTACATCAGTGACGTATGCATCCCAATTCAGGTGATGGTCAAATAGCACGCCCAAGTTTTTTCACGGCCTAATTCGATAAGGGGAAGGAAGGTTGCGCTTAACATCGGATGTAAGGGTTCGAGTAAGGTCATCGCACTGGATCATATGGGCGTCTGGCGCGTGCAGGCTGAGGTCGTTGGCGAAGATTATAAATAAAAGAGGACCAAGAGCTAATCCCTGGAAGACTCCTATGATGTTGGGGAGGGGCTAGGAGACCTTTCTGTCACCAAAAGAAGAAGGATGCACGACTGACTAGAAATGACCAGAAAGATAGGGGAAGAACCAAGCGGTGTCAATGTCACAGACATGCAGCTTGGAAAGTAGTTGAGGAAGAGGAAGGACATCAAAACATTTACTGAGATCCAAGAGGCGCACGAGTGAAAGATGGCCTCATCCATGTATATATATATATATATATATATATATATATATATATATATATATACATATATATATATATATATATATATATATAATAGAGGAGCAGAGTACAAATACAAACATCATCACGTCCACACCCCACACAACGCGTCATGGAGGGCATGACCTCGTGCAGCCCGCCCAGGGTCGTGCCAATCACCCGGAAACCAAAAGCCCCACCCTGGGGCGGGTGACGTGGGACGTCAGGTGGCTGTCCAAGACCGGTCAGGTTGGGTGCAACACGTGGGCCGACATTAACAAAATAAGCATTCATCTCGTCCGGGAGGCGACAGTGAGATTGTGAGCACCGCTCCCCCCCCCCTCCCTAACAGCGGGCGGATAATGCGGTTACAGAAAACTGCTCCCCTGATCACGCAGCCTCTCCTCAATTTCCGCCCGGCAGTCACGCCTGATCGCCGACCTCACCCTCTGGTTCACTCGCGGAAAGCCGGCGATCTCCCCTCGCGACGCAACACGCCCCTCCGCCATGCCATGAGGTCAGGGGTCACCGGGCTGAAATGTTCAATTTTCAGTCAAAAGTCATTAGTGATACAAATTACGTAACGTAGTTTTGAGCATGCAGCGTTTGAACGAAAGGTGGACGAAAATGATAACGCATTTGAAAGAAGTACGTTTGAACAACATCATATCGTGCCTTTAGAAGGTACTTCAGGCGGGTATTTCACCTGTGCAATTTTTAGACTGATGGTGAGAACGGATTGGCCTTTACAGCGCCGTGAATTAATGCCAGAATCTGATGTTCCTTAGAGGGATGCATCATTTCACGCTGTTCGTCTCCCTGATGCAGGGGGCCTTCTGACGCGCTTATTGGAACCCAGATCGAAGAACCCTCATTGACACAATAACATCCATGATCGCCGCAGGTGGTCCAATAACTGGCACATAGACTCAATTTGGTTTAGCGGGCACGTGTTGGAATTGTGTTGGAGGGCCCACCGTTCAGTACTAGGGGCCCTAACTGGCATAGGATCCTTCCATTGCCTCATTGTAAACAGCCATCATGAGTTCTCGTGCTTCCTTTCATTGTCAGAGAGCACCGTCCAACGCAAGAGACCCTCTATCATTCGGGGTCCCGTCCTCGCCTCTGATGAATAAATCTTCCGCTGCCCGACGTGAGGACCTTTGTTGACACAGAATACCCTGTTAGGCATTGTGGGCCTCTCAACGATACAGGTACATACAGGCCCCGTAGTATAGCAGGGACCCCAACCAGTGTAAATCGCGGGCCCGGCCGCGTCCCTGCTCGGGAAATGACCGGAGCTCAGACTGACACGGTGCCGACGATTCGGTGTTGGTAATCTCTGGCCGAAACAAAGGAACGCTCTGTCTCAGGGGTTCCCAATCACTCGGGGTGACAATTTCTGCAAATTATTGGGGGAACCGAACCCAACCGAACCGAAAGACCCGACATTCCCCCCCCCCCCCATTTTCCCACGGGGATTTAGCCCACGTTAGTTTGATTAAACACAGTATATGTTTTAATCTTTGTATAATTTATGTCTTTAATTTAAGCAGTATGGAAGTCATGCAGGGTTAGATCCAGACAGGCAGGCACTGACTCACGCATCTCTTCTGATCGGCACTTAAAGGCGCCCTTTTAGAGGCCACCTTAGGGCATCGATGGCACTCTTCTATGGCGGTCCATTGGATGCGGCACGCATTTTGGTTGTGGGTGACGGGGACACAAGGTTAGCCATGAAGGACTTAGGTCATCCCCATATTCCAGAGCTTTCACTTTACCCGCACAAAACCGAGACGCCACTACGCAGAAAGACCAAGAAAGATAGTATTTGCGATACGCTTATCTTTTACCCACCTTTTTGGGTAATATTTCAGCTAAAAACATTGGGGCCAAACTAACATGACAGGGGGGGGGGGGGGGGGGCGGGGCAACTCAACATTGAAGGGCCAGGGTCTCACAAAAAAATACAAATCGACACCCGTGGTGCAGAGGCCCGCTAACTGACATTCGAAATCACAGTCCCACGGGAGGGGGCCACTAATGTGACCTACAGTCAGCCCTTTGGGGCCGCTCAGCCAGCCTTTGGGGACCCTTCAGCCTTCCAATCGAGCCCTTGATCTTTGGTATAGAGAGACCCTTCGGCCCCTCTTCGGGCCTCCTCAAACCCCGCTCCGACTCGGGGCCACTTGCCGCCACAGGATCCCTGTTAGGCCCTGTTCCCCTTGACCGACAAAGGGAGCCCCTCATTGTGACAAGGACCCCGAACATTGCAAATCGCGAGCCTCGGCTTCGCTCGTGGTTGGTACATGGGTGTCAAGGGCTCAGGCGAACACGGAGCCGACTGTGTGGCTTTCGTGTCGAAGCTCTTTATAATAGGGATAGAGAAGACCAATAAGACGGGCCCCAACAGAAGTTCTCTGAGTGACATTTCTGGTCATAGGAATACAGATGGAGGGCCGGGCTCAAGTCCAATTGGACTGTTGATTTTGGGTCCCAAGCCCCTTTCGGCCCCTCTTCGGACCTCCTCAAACAAAGCCCGTGACCGATTAGGGGCCACTAGCCAACACATGACGCTTTGTCAAGCACTGTGCACCCCTGACGGACACAGGGACCCAAATACAGTTTCAGAGACACAGACCGATGCAAACAATAGCCCACGGCCTTGCTCGGGCTTGGAGAGTGGACGCCGTGGTCTAAATTGACAGGGAGCCAACTGTTCAGTGTTCGTGGGCTGCGGCCGACTGAGACACCCGAACTGTCTCAAGGGATTCTCAAACGGTACAAGGGGGACCTCTAACTGATATTTAGGTCACGACCCTACGGGCCGAGATTCTTTATATGACCTATAGCCAGTCCTTAGGGCCCTTACGCCCTCCAACCGGACCTTTGATAGTCGGCTCAGTTAGGCCGCCCAGACCCTCTTCGGGCCCTCATCGAACATTGCTCTTGGTCCGCTAGGGGCTCCCTTGTGAGCACTGGACTCTCTGTTAGGCGCTGTGGGTTCTGACAGATACAAGGGCCCAACCTAGTGTAAATCGCTGGCCCGGTTTTGTGACTCATTGGGCAGCTGGTCCCTTAGGCCAATACCGACACGGGAACCGACGGCACGGTACTGGTGGTGCCTGACCAACATATAGAATCATATCGACTTAATGGGTCCTCGAACGGTGCAAAAGACCCTCTGACTGTCACCTGGGGGCTTGTCCCCGCAGGTCCAAGGCCCATGATGACGACTCCGTCCTGGCCCCTAGTGCCCTTAGGCTCTCCAATCGGGTCACTGATCGTTGGCCTCGGCGGGGCCCTTTTCGGACCCCTCGAGTCTTCGGGCCTCCATCTATTCGAAAAGAGGTTTCTTATTTCCGTGCAGTCAACCACCATACGCATTATCCGCCCGCTGTTAGGGAGGGGGGGGGGTGGGGAGGCGGTGCTCACAATCTCACTGTCGCCTCCCCGGACGAGATGAATGCTTATTTTGTTAATGTCGGCCCACGTGTTGCATCCAACCTGGCCGGTCTCGGACAGCCACC